TGGCTCAAAAGAAATAGCAGGGTAGGGTAAATGGTAGTTCTACTCTCTAACACACACGTTCATTATGCTCCTATGAAAAATAGGAGATATTTTCATAGATACAATGTGAAACAGAGCAGAACAGAAAAAATTTCTTTTTAAACTAATCTTCTCTTTTTCACAGCGATACAGAAGAATGTCTAGTGATAGCTTGATTAAAACTGCAACTCTTACCTGCTTATTTCCTTTTGGTACATAAGCAAGTCCTTAGCATTTATTACTTTTAAATACAGGCTTCTTCGGATTTATTACTTTGTAATGAAATTATCCTGGATTCCATATGCACACCTTGCTATGTTCTTTCTTCTGTATTTTTTTCTTCTAAAGTTGTCCAGAGGGTACAACTCAACAACAGGCTTAAAGGGTCTGCAGTAGGCAGCTGAAAAGCTCTTAGGCACTTTCTCTTCACTGAAAGAAGAAAGTATTTTTCTTTTGCTTAGCAATGAGTTATTAAATGAGTTTCTAAGTCCTTAATTTTCTGTTATTTTTGCATCTACCAAGATGGAAGTCACTCATCCAGAAAGAGGTAGCTGGGAATAGAGTTTACTGACCCAGATATTTTTCTTTAGCATGTTTTTAGTGCAGTAGCATCTGTATCCCATTTTAACAGGGTCCAGTCAATGTCCTCAGTGTGTTCCTTATCAGTTCTTTGCAGAGATTCACCCACCAATGTACTTGTAAGTTGCACTGGCAGGTTGTGAGATACAGTAATGACTCTTGGAGTTAGGTGACTACACTGGAAACAGAAAATTCTTTCCTGTTAACTCAGGGGAAAGAAAACACCAGAACAAGAGGTCTCCAGTGAAGCAGGTTTTTTAAGACCTAAAGGTATTGGACATTTCTAAGTGTAAATTCTGCATAAGTACTTTAGGACATGTCTGCATTTCCTCTTGCCTCTGACTACAGAAATTAAAGATTGCTATATGTATTTTAAACCCTCCATGTTTGCAGAAAAATGTCTTTTATCAATCCATCAATATTTGGTACCAGGTAAAAAATCTCTCAGTGTCAAGGAATAACAGTGAAAGGCATCTAGGCTGATGGAGAGGTGGATGCCACCCAGCCAGCTGCTATGGATGGATGGATAGCTCAAACAGCCCCTGTGTCTGCAGATATCTATAGTGTAAAGTGGTTGATATGTTCTCAGATTTTCTGCTGTGTTCTGCTATTCTGCCCAGGCTCCAGCCAGAATGTTTATTTGGGGTTGGTTCTGTGTTTTCACTGATATCCTCACACAATAGGATTACTCTCAGTTACTCCCTACTTACTGAATATCTGCCTGGCCAAAAGTTCAGTTGCCTTAAGCAGGAGGAGTGCTTCTGCCACAGCAAGCAAGCAGCTATGGATAGTAGCAGTAAATCTAAATCATAAGAAGAGGGTGGACATATTTGTTTACTGCCTCTGTGAATGCAGAAAATATAGAAGTCCACAGTGCCAGCTGAGTCTTTGAGGTCCTAAACTCAGAGAATTTTGAAATTAAGTTAGTATTTGGTTGAGAGCCAGCGGAACATGAGCCGGCAGTTTGTCCAGGTGGCCAATAAGGCCAATGACATCCTGGCTTATAGCAACAGTGTGGCCAGCAGGACCAGGGCAGTGACTGTCCCCCTGTGCTCAGCCTGAGGTGAGAGTCACTCCCTGAGGCCTCACCTTGAGTACTGTGTTTGGTTTTAGATCAGAAGTTGTGTTAGGGGAGGTTCAGACTGAGTATGAGAAGAAGGTTCTTCACTGAGTGGGTGTTTGGGCATTGGGACAGGCTCCCCAGGGAAGTGGTCCCAGCACTAAACCTGAAGGAGTTCAAGCAATGTTTGGACAATACCCTCAGGTACATGCTGTAACTCTTGGGATATGCTGTGCAGTGCCAGGAGTTGTACGCGATGATCTTTGTGGGTCCCTTCAAACTCAGGATATTCTGTGATTCTGTGATAATGTGAGGTGCTGAGTCATGTCCAGACAAAGGCAGCAGAGCTGGGGAAAGGTCTAGAGCACAAATCTGATCAGGATCATCTGGCGGAGCTGGAGGTGTTTAGCCTGGTGCAAAGGAGCCTTATCACTCTGAAGAACTGCCTGAAAGGTGGTTGTGGTGACCAGGGGTCGCTTTCTTCTCCCAGGTAAGGGGTGACAGGACAGGAGGAAACAGCCTGAGATTGCACCAGATGAAGGGTTGGATTGGATATTAGGAAACAATTCTTCACTGAAAGACTTGTCAAGCAGTTGACCAGGCTGTTTATTCCTCCTCCAAACTCTGTTGTCCATCATACTCAGTCCCCAATGTGCAGACTGCCTCTCCTGACACCTAAAGACAGAGAAGGACATCTTGCCATTTCGTGCTACCTCTAAGTGTGTCATCTTTGGCATGGGGAGCACATCATGACCATGTACAGCAGAGGGTCTGATCTCATTAGCTCACATACTGATTGTGTTTTGAGATGAAACATGTGAGAACCCCGGGTTTGGTCTGGGTTCTCGTGTGTTGGTAAAGCTTCTCCTCCAACCTGTGTTTCCAAAGAAAAACTCCGCAGCCTCTTCTTGTTCGGTCTCAAGATGTTTTATTGCTAGTTATCTAACAGATTAGGTTCTCGGGCTGCGGCCCTTTGGTCAGCGGCCCAGGCAGAGAGGCACACACTCCTGACACCCTGACTGTCTGGTGTCTTCTTCTTCTCTCTCCCCCGCCCAGGGCTGCTGCTATCTTTTATAAGATATATTACGTATAACATGTTTACAATTATTCCCCAATACCTATTACCTATGTTACCAAGTGTTTTTCTATTCTAAACCAATCTGTGAGTGCCAACATCACCAAGAACATGGAGGTAAGGAAGAAGAAGGAAGAAGGATGGGTTCAGCCCACTTTCCTCCATCTTAGAACTTCTGACCCCCATGTACAAAGTAAAAACCCCCCTGTACATGCACTAAAACCCCCCTGTACACGACCAAAAAATATTTCCCTCTACTTTGTGACTACATTTACTATACTATCTAGCACTTTGTGACTGCTTGTTCCACCTTCAAAGTTGGTAATTCATTCCATGGTTCAAACTCGAAATCACAGCTAAATCCAGCTGCCTGCTGGGGTCCAGACTGCATCTGACCACGGCCTGGAACCTCCAAAAATGTCTGAGAGACATTTTGAGTTCCCACAGAAACATACATAGAAATGTGTGTTTTTATTCACATTACCTGTGGGCAGACTGCCTGCATTGCAAGGAAACCTTCATTGCCAGTCATCAAGAAAATAGAAAAAAAAATGGAAAATTATAATGAAACATTTCTTTTTGAGAATGTGATCAAATCCTGGAACAGGCTTCTAGAGAGGTGGTTGATGTTCCATGCTTGTCAGTGTTTAAGAGGCATTTGGACAATGCCTTTAGTATGGTGCTTTAACTTTTGGCCAGCCTTCATCAGGCAGTTGGACTAGATCATTGTTGAGGGTCCTCCCTTCCAACTGAAATAATCTATTCTGTTACTATTCTGTTCCTATTCTAATTCTATCCTGTTCTATTCTGTTCTGAAGTTGTGGTATGGAGATAGACATGAAGTAGTTTACTGGAAACATCTGTATATTCCAGGGAGAGAGAGAGAACACTTCAATAAAGTATCATTTATGCTTTGTATCAAGAACACTGTAAAGGATCAAATCAAGTGTAACTTGGAAATAGTGTACTTTAGCTGGGGAGGTTGCCTAACATAAGTAATGTCTTACATCACCTAACTCAACTGACTAATTGAGCTAAGGCAGTATTACTTTATTCAGTTTGCTTTTTAGCCTCTAAGACGCTGTTCTACTGTCATTGATACCAAAGCCTAAAACTCCTGGAGCTCTATGATCAAATGAAGGTAGAATAGGAGCTAAAGGAGGGCTTCACTGGATTTTCTGGGATACTCTCTACAGCACTTTTCAGCTCTCAGATTGAAGCGTATCCCTGAAGTTTTGCCTTGTCCTTCAGACCTTGTATGTCTCCTTCTTCGGTGATGGTAGACAGTTTTTGGTGCCCTGATGTTTGTTCAATATCAGATGCTGCTGCAGTTCAGTGCTGTATGAGTAGGAATCTAGGAACATGGAAACAACAGATGTTGCTCAATATGAATACAAAAAATGCTTATGTAATTTCTAATTAAGATGTCACTTATTCTAAAAACAAAGGAATTGAGGCAGTCCATACTGACAAAAGAAAAAACGGACAACAAGTGCTCAGATCAAAATGATGGCATAATTTTCATGAGTAAAGGAAAGGCACAAGTAAAAATCTGCAATCTATGTTGCTTGATAAGAAGCAGAGGTTCAAATAAAGTTATTGCTATGGCAACAAAAGGAGCAAGGGGATTTACACTTCTGTATGTATCAGTGCAGTCTTAACCAAGAGTGACTCTGGCTAGAAAGAGCAGCTGCATATTAATTCTTATAATTTATGAATTGTGTATCTCACCTCACTGCCTCAGACCTATAACGTAGAGTGATAGATCATTGACCATACATGGTTGAAGATGTTCCTGGACCTGTTAGAACCATAATTCTTAGATTATTTATCAAAGTCACTCCTATATAGAATCTCAAGGTTGAATAGATTTCTAATATTACTTAAAAATATTTATTCTATGCTATATGGCATCAATTAGGTCCACACTCATAATACACCTAAATCTTTCTCGTAATCTGTTGAGAACATTAAGTCTAATGTCACTCCAATACAGGAATGTGTCTTCATCTCTAGTTTCACCCTGTGTCACTGAACACCTATTTTCCATATGAAGATTAATACAATTTCTATATTACCAAATTTTATGTGACAAAATATACTTTATGTTAATCCTATTTAATAAGCTTCTCATAAAGCAAATAAAGGAGGATTATCTCATAGACATCAGTAAATTTTAAGATTCAAGTCACACTGCCCTGATTTAAGTTGTTTGGTATTTTTTAATTACCCTCCTTTTAATAATGGTATTGTCTATTAATATTGCAGATCACAGTTTTTCGAATGGGATCAGAAGGACACCAGGATATTGATTTAGCTATCCTGACAGCACTACTAAAAGGTAAAGAGCTGAGTGAGTCTATATCAATCCATTTAGTGTCTCTGATGTGCTGAAACCCGCATTTATTGACATATCTATCAAGATGATAAATCTATACTGTGAAACTGAAGTATGCTTCTTGCTCTAACTGCTTTCTACAAATACAGATCTTTTTTTAATGTTTAAATAGCTACTGTTTTTCCTTTCTGAATTTTTGTTCGCCACAATCACTGATGTGTCACAAGAAATATCATGGTGACCCCCATGCCAGTTACTTGAGAAGCTTAGTAATCAAGAGAAGACAGCCAAAGAACTCTTCCAACATAGATTGCCTTGGTAGCTAGAACATCCATTTAGATAAAGCTGGCTCCATTTTCAAAGTTAGATGTTATGTGTAGTCATCCCTAGGAAAGTCTGGAAGGAGTGCGAGGTTCCTTTCAGCCTCCATTTGTACAGATAAGAACGTAGTTATTGGGATGGTTGGGCTTTTAATCTTAAACTTGGCTGGGTGTTACATCTTTCTGAGCCATTACATGTTACACTTCTGCTCTTAAAACATTGACTTGCAATAAATTTGCTGTTGCTACAGTTCACAACAGACCCTCATCTATATTAATTAATAAATTAATTCAAAACGAGAATCAAGAATTTCATCCATTGCCAAATTTCTCCTTTTTCTCCCTTGGAAATAATATAATTGCAGGTTTCATTTTTGTCTTAAATGTAACCGAATCCTTCATTATCTTCAGTATGAAGGTATTCTCTTCACATTTGTTCTTAAGACAGTCCCTGAAAGTACTGCTCTTGTTTTCTATTAATAAGGCAAAGAATGTCTTAAGAGTCATGATTCCACTTTTTGTAAATGTGTTTTCAAGGTCCGTATCCCAACATAGATCCCTGGAGTCTTGTGAAAACTGACTCTTGGAAGCTGAAGAAAATAAGTCACATGCCTGTGAGGAATTGTTTTCTATTTGAAATGTTCTTTTTCAGTATTTACAGAAGAAACTGTTTTAGAGGTTGCAGTCTCAGTATATGAGAATTCCTCCCTGCTCTGGAATATCTATTTTACAAGTACTTAATTGGTGCTGTTGGTCCCTTGGTGAAATAAAATTTCCTTTCCTCTTCATGTTAAGGGTACAAGTCATCATAAGAAACTTTTATTAGCTCAGGAGGTGCTTGGATCTGTGTAAGTACTTTCAACATCTCCTTTCATGCTTGTCTGAGAGTCTTGATTTGAAAATCTGCTGATGGCAGCAACATTTGTTTCTTGCTCTAAAGACCCAGAGGAACTGGGTCACCTCATCTTCCCTGCTCCTCATCTTCCCTGCTCCTCAGGACTTTGTGATTATGCAGATATTCAATGAAGATCAGATTCATCAGGTGCCTCTGGTTCATATTAGCCTCCTGATCACAAGGTATTTAATCAATATATGCAAAGATGAGATCTCTTGTCTCAGCCAAGTCAGTTGTCCTTATTTACATCATATCTTTGTACAAGTTTTCTGGCCCACCTGAAAAGAAATACTGACTTTCTGTAAATATACCTGACTATCTTGATGGACACTTGGGTTTTTCATCAAAGTCTTAAGGCAGCAATGCTGAACCACTTGTCTATTGATTTTTAAGTAATTTATTTGCAATAGGTAAAATTAATTGGTAAATTGTTTTTTCATGCTGTTGGGAGTTTTCATGGCATTGGAAACTTACTTCTCATTGTTTCTAAAATTAAAGAAAAATAATAATTGTAATAAGTAAAATAAGATATTTGAAGACTGGGTCTGAGTTATCTTGACATTCATAAATTTAAATTTAAAAATCATCTCTTCCTACTTTCCAGTACTGTGTAAAAAATGGAGAAGAGTAATGTCTGAAACTGATGAGTGATTACAGTAACTTTTTTCAGTCTTCTTAATGAGGAATTTGCAGCTTTTGGTAGTGCATATTAGCATATCAGCTAATGACCCATCCCACCTTTGTGTGAGTGATTTTGTCATGGGGGAGTGGGAAAAGGGTTTGGAAACACAAAGTATCATTTCCAGTTTGCTATGTAAAATCTCCCTTTTGAACCCACACCAGACATGCTGCTAATTCAGGAGCTGTCCTGGACAGCATAATCCACAAGCCCCAAACCCAGCATCACAAATTCTTTGTTTGTTTTCACAAACTGCTTGTTTAATCTTGTCAGCAAGATCTATCTTTCTTGGAAGTGATCTTCAATAAACTACAGAGTGGCATCCAAACTGGTTATCAATTTACATTACATGGATGTCATAACAGCATATGGTTCACAAATTCTTTTTTTTTTTTTTTAATGTTGAGCAACACAAATGTGGGAAGTAAGTTTCCAAAGGCATGGGTTTATAGAAGTCAGGTTTATCAATACAGTTTAACTGTTTGTGCTCTCTTAACTTGAATATTTGGAACTCACACCATAATGGATTTTGTCCTTTTGCAGATGCTAGCAAAGCAGAAGGCATGTGACAGGGAAGTTAAAGACAGCATATGGAAATGGTCTAAAAAAATGCTTGTTTTGAAGTGGCTTCAGAGATCCTAGTTCACCAAGCTGTTGCAATGTCTGGAGCAGACTAGTGCCAGCCATGTTTCAGATGGTACTCCAGAAGCCTTCCCAGTGCAATTGTCAGCACTGGGAAAGAGGTGCTCTGTGGTACGTGCATATGGTGATATTGCTGCCATGTACCTGCTGGGGTAAACCATGTTAGGCTGAAGCAGAACTGAAGTTCTGCATACTTTCCAGTCTGTGAGTAAGTCATGATTCATGCTCACTGAATAGCCATCATGTAGTATCAGATGGTCAAGGATAGTCTGCCAGCTATGAAATCACAGAAACAAAAAGGTTTCAGAGTTACTGCACTTGTAGCTGGTTTTGCTGTCTGCTTTTATATTGTCAATTGGTTTCCTAATTGCCAGGATGATTCTGTAGTAAATGCTGTGGAAATGCAGCCTTTGCACTAAAGAGCTTCTGAAACAGGAGACAGCATTGGACCTGCAAAAAGTTAATTTGGTTTTTTATTTTCCCTAATCTAGTTGTTTTCTTTAGATGTTGATTCAAAGTGGACACTGACATGCTTAGGTGCACTGTGGAAATGGATATCCCACAACAATTTCTGTCTAGGTAGATGTTTCATATAATTTCATCTTTCCAGAGACCTGAGCACCAAGATCATAGCTATTCCAGGAGAATCCTTTAGGGGTTTATGTTGGTCACAGTAAGCTTTAGCCAGTTCATAAAAGCCTGTAGTAATAAGTATATAAAAGCCCTTCAGTAATCCTGCAAGTGTACAACACTCATTGTTTGATGTGTACCCTGGCTCCCTGAGGAGACAGCATTGAGTTTATAGTCCCAGGCTGTATCATCAAGGAGTATTACATTTCCAGTCCAAAATATTGAGTAGACAATGTGACTTTTTACCAAAAGAGTCTATGCAAGCACTGCTGGATGGCAGCCTAAGAACATAAAATTAACATCTGCAGGAACTAACAGTTGTCCCAGCAGTCTGTCTATATCCAGTGGTATGTATATCAAGATAAAATACTGCCAAAACAATGTATTGCATCCCAACTGCAAATTTTCTTCTAGAAGAAGATGAAAGGAAGGGTCACGCTGCAGAGGCTGTCGTAGTCTCAAAACATTCTTTTGAGGAGCATATCTTACAATCAGTCAGACACCAGAATACTGAGTAAATATTACAGAGAAATTAGTCATATTACCCAAAACATTATTTAATGCAATAAGTATGATATGGTAAATAAAATAATACAATACAAGAGGTTATTAACTCTACCTTATTTATTTTCCAAATATCCTTTGGCTTTGATTTGAGCACCAGTGACACTCATGAGTGACAGGCATCCCCAGAAAGATCACTTTTTGAATTCTTCCTACTGACTCATTCCATGCCCTGTGGCACTGAATGCAGTCAAGGAAATGACTGAAAGGAGACTGTATCTTAAGAAGGCCATCTCATGTTTTTTCTGGGGAGCTTTTCTTATATGAGTGGAATCAGTCATGTTTCTTGATCTTAGGTAGAATTCCACCTAAAATAGCCTGAATACTTCCTTTTTCATTTGAGACAAAGGTCATCAGTTCTATCCTAGAATAAAATCAATTAAAAGGCATCCACAGCTCATATGCTACTCCGTACAAACATTTATAGCTTTGATTTTCCTTCTCCTCTTAAGTAACATCATTGCCATTCACGTTCATCTGAAAACCCCTCAGGGATGACAGCAAGGAGGAGAAGGAAGCAAGGGCTTTCCATCAAGAAACTGTACTGTGGAAGCACCCATCCAACCAAATGCAGCAGAGCCCCAGGATGCACATCCATAATCTACACCCTAGCTGATAGACTGCTTCAGACCTGGAGTACAATATCCCCTTGAGAAGCCACACATTTCCTTCGACTGCCAGATACCTGCAGTGCTCTGTGAAATCAAACATTATGACCACAAGCACTGAGAAGAGCATCAACTCTGGGACTACACATGTATCAGCTGGAAAACTTGGCCACTGCTTGCAGCCTTAAGCATAATGAAGGGAGATGGGAAGGATATGGCTGGGCCATGACTTGCTTTCCCTTTTGCTCAGTATTTGGAGCAATGAGCATGCTCAAAGAAAACAATTTTGGTGAATGGATGAACAGGCACCACCTCATGCCCCATGCCAGCAGTTCCTTCCTGTGATCAAATGTACCAGAAGATCCTCTATTCATCTGCAAGCTGAGTCTTTTCTAAAGCATGTAAAGGCCCAGGACTGCTAGGGTCAGTTGATACAAACTGGAGAACACTCCCTGCTAGGGCTCAAAAATTATTTATCGGGAGCCTTAGTGATTTAGCTTAACTTCTTTCTGAAGTGGGGGCTGTGTAAACAGACCACTTCCCTCCCCAAGTTCTAACTAGATTGCACCCCTGGCTACCCTGGCTGTAGTAGGAAAATCAAGAATTGGAGCTCCCTCATCACCCGTGTGAATTGTTGTCAAGCTGTGGGATCACCATCACTGCCCCCAGGTTTTAGAGTTCACCTATATGCCTCCTCCATGCCTCACCAGAAACCTTGACTAAGCACTGCTAAAGCTCTCACTTCTCCTTCAGGCACATGATTGGGAAGGAGGAGATCTGATGAGAGCATCTCTTGTTTGCTTCAAAATGGGGGAGAACATTATTTGCGCTCTGTGTTTAACTTACACTATCATACTCACCGCAGGTATTTTTTTCCTGTTTTTATAAATAAATCTTGGGATATTTAAATGTAGAGACATTTTTGCCTTTCCAAAAGGTAAATATTTTATGTTCTTGGATGCTGTATATTGCTTGTGTAAGAAACTCCAAAAGTTTCAGATGTTGTTGTCATCCCCCCTGAGATCTCTTGTGTTGCAGTGAGAAGTTGTGTCTTATGCAAAGGGGCATTCCTGATACTTCTTAGCCACAGAAGTCACAAAAGTATTTTCACTTTTTTTTTTCTTCTTCTTCATTTGTTTCAATTCTGTTCTGTTCCTGCATTGTCTACCTTTTTATCAGAGCTCATGTATGAATGTGATTTGGATGATACACAATTCACCATCTCCCAAACAAGTCCTGCAGATATTGACAATTATTTGGCAATATCAGCAGTAAACTGACTTCACATTGAGAGTTATGAAATTAAACTATAGGCTAAGCTCCACGAAGTTTTTTATTAAGGTCTTCACAGAGAATTTCAACAGCCAGTTTTATGTTTTCCTTGCCTCAAATTTCAGAGTCCACTTTCAACTGGAGCAGTGTGTGTGTTTGAATAATACTTAAATGGGGACACAAATGCTTTGAAGTAATGAAAAGCTTTTATTTATCCTCACTCCATGATATCAGTATGAGAATTAATAAAGACAAAATAAGAGTAGAGGTATGAGGTCTTAAAAAATAAGCCCTTATACAATCACCTAACCACTGCAAGCAGATATGTAGTTAAAAGTCAAAGGGCTCTTTATTTATTTGGTTCATCAGTTCATTCAGGCCAGTTCTCCCTTTGACACTGAAGCACAAGTGCTGCTTTATTATTACAAATCAGCTGAGAACCATGAAATATTAAAAAAGCACAGCAGGACAGGAATGTCCCACAGTGTCCATTAAAACTGCAGGGAAAATCATACCCTCCCTTGCAAAAACAAACAGCTCCAAATCCATCTTATCATCTGCATAGTTTCTCATTTAATTTAGATATATTATACCTTGACACAAGCTTTATAGAATGCTTTCTTACATAGTTATTTCATATGTGAAGGGAAATCTGTCCCACCAAGTCACCTCAGTACAAAGAGGGGAGAAATTCCTATGCTTCTTATCAAGCTGGAACGTGTAAGATGCCAAAAATTGCAGAACTACGGAAATCAGTGGTGTCTGTGAGTTGAATCTACTTGTAATTGCTAGAGGCACATGTCTCTCTCTCTCTCTCTGTGTGTGTGTGTGTGTGTGTGTGTGTGTGTGTGTGTGTGTGTGTGTGTGTGTGTGTGTGTGCTCATGGGATACGTGTGGGTGTGTGTATATTCTTGCAGCTCCATCTGTATCCTGGCTTGTTCTCTTGCTTCCCATCCAGTAGGAGAGAAACCACTTAAGTCCACCAAAAAATGCCTTCTGATATCACCTGTATCTGCTGTATTTTGAAGGGAAATATGAGGAAATAATTAATGTTTGTAATACAATCTGAGAACTAGAGATGCAGATTTGAGAATGGATTTTTTTTTTTTGACAGTTGCAGTGGAAGGTTTGGTTTTGTTTTGATATGAGATCAGTTGCAGAAATGACATAGATGTCAGTGAGACTTCACAAAGAGGAGTTACCAGGATATACTGAGCCTAATGTCTTGTTTCTTCTTTTCCTGCTGTCCTCCCTGCACCCCTGTCTGTATACACAGGAGCTAATGCATCTGCTCCCGACCAGCTGAGCCTAGCACTAGCCTGGAACAGAGTAGACATCGCCCGCAGTCAGATCTTTATTTATGGGCAGCAGTGGCCGGTACAGTATATATATAATGTATATATACACAACATCTTCTATCAGAAACACCTTGAACCCTACAGAGTATAAATACATTCTGTTTGCAATGGTGGTTTTAGTGTGGTTTAAAATACACTGGGTCCTGCCAAACACATGGTTCCCAATCACATTTGCTGAAGGCAGGCACAATTGCAGACAGGCTAATGTGTTCTATTGTCCAAGGAAATGGTGACATCTAGCGATGCCTTAAGAGTAGGAAACTACACCTCTGAAAAAACGGGAAGTACCAGATTTATCCTACTAAGCATGATTCTGCAAGCTGATGTAAACAAGTGTATACCCGCTATAAATTCAAGGAAATTCAACATTTCTTTTTTCTCTTAAAGCAGCATGCTTTTATATGCAAATCCTGAATTTGAGGTGATGATTTTACATGAAAAATACACCATACAAATGCTGGAGATCATGTAGACTGCAGAAGTTGATCAGCAGTGTCACCACAAATGGGCTATGGCTCCAGATCTCAGGTGATGTTAATTCTGTTCCCATTGCTGCTGTGCATCAATCTGCCTGCTCTACATCTGCACCATCTCATGCTCCAGGTGCAGAAGTCACAAAGACAGAAAAAAAAAAAAAAGTAAGGTCTCCATGTCTACCTGGTCTACCTGTATCTCCTTAAAGCTCAACTTATTCACTCAGGAGTTTGAACTGGACAGTATTAGTCACTACTGTGACACTTGTTTCATCACTGTCATTAAAATTTCTCATGCTGTTATTACATGAGCATTTACAATTCCCCATGGAAAAACTATAACAATGGGAAAAGGTTTTGTTTAAGTATCCTTGATTTAAATGTAGCTTTCTACAGCTTGCTACCTCTAAAAGCTAGTACAAAAATCCTTGCCTTTTCAATTATTTTGTCTTTGATATTGGGCATAAGTATGTGTTAAAACATAGGTATTTTAATGGCATTGAACTGTCTTCATTGTTATCTCTTCGTCACACATCACAGCAAAAATTTGATAAATTCTGCAATCTGCAATAATTTTGGAAGCTAAAAGCTGGAAGGATGAGATAATTTCTCATCCTTCTAATTCTGCCTGACCTCCAAGAGTTAAGAAGAAGAGGTTTTGTGTAAGAAGACCTCTTGCATTTGGGCCTTCAAAGGAATGCAAATTATGAAGCAGTTTCTGTTTCCTCAGTGTTCAAATTTCCCTGAGGTTCCACACCACAAACAGAAGAAAACTTCAGAAAAGTCAGAATTAAAGTTATTTGATGTGCACAAAACAAATATATCCAATATAAATAAAATTATTGACAGGAAAAAAATAATGATAATAATAAATCCTGAATAAGGTAGAGATGTGGTCTCCAGTTTACTGGATTGCAGTTCTTTGTCCTAAACTGTTTTTTCTAGATCATTTTAACTAGCACTCCAATGTTCCTTTTTGAAATGCAACCCTGAATTAGAAAAATTGTTACAGATTAAAATCATGATTATCCCATTTTAAGCTTAGAAGAGCAATGCTTAGGATTTTGTCAGTCCCTCTGCTTGTGCTGGAATGACTGAACCAGCTGGATGTAGCCTGCCACGCCAAGGAACAGATTCAATTAATCACTTACTTTGCAGGTGGGCTCCCTTGAGCAAGCAATGCTGGATGCACTGGTGTTGGACAGAGTGGATTTTGTGAAATTACTCATAGAAAATGGAGTAAGCATGCATCGTTTTCTCACCATCTCCCGGCTAGAGGAATTGTACAATACGGTAGGGCCAGCCTAAGGCAAATTTTCTGTCTCTATATTCACTGTTCTAGCTCCCACTTGTATAGTAATGGCATGATGATGATGCACCAGGCAGTCAACACCTGCTGCAGAAATTTTTCATTAGCCCATATTGTCTCTCTTGCTTGTGTCTCATATAATGTAACATGCTGTGCCTTGCCCATGTAATCTGTTGTATGGATTTTGTAAAGACACAAAATAAGCCTCACACAATGGCAGACATTTTCTTGTCACTGTAATTCCAATATGACAAACCTAAGATTTAGGCAGGTGCCTCTGTCTGGAAGACAGTAACTGGCAAGTTAGGACCCATATAGTGGTGTTGTATGACTCCTGATAATATGGCTTCAGAAAAATCTTCTAACTCTTAATCAGCCTCTGTTACAATGAAGGGCTTCCCCATGCCCCCACTGAGTTCCAAAAATTAGACCTTTGACTTTTAAAAAACTGTTTGCAAGTTTTTAATCCTCACCATTAAAGTGAATATAAAACTGGACAAATAAGTCTGCTTCTGAATTCTCAAATGCAAAATACATTCCAGCATTCACAATATTATTGCCTACTTAGGTAGTAGTTCAGAAAGTTCAAACTTCTTATGTGTAATGAAAATAAAATCTTAAAACACTGTCTAGTTCTTAGAATTCCCAGTGTTGTGTATTGCGGAAGGGCTGTGATATGGGCATAAAAAACTTTCAATAAGTTATTTTTTCTGCCAGTACTTTTCAAAGCCTTTGCTGTCACACTGAGCTGTTATCTGGAGGTATTTCACACTGATGCTGACCAGTAGTCAGTCTTGCAAAATATCAAATATGAATAGGATTCATTAAACTTCATCAAAATATGGAGGAACAGGTGTATATATATATATATATGTGTGTGTGTGTGTGTGTGTGTGTGTGTGTGTACGTGTATATGCATGTATATATATATATATATGTATGTGTATATATATATGTATGTATGTATATATTGGGTACATATATGCCACCCTAGAGACAAAATCCCATCTGATCTTTGGTCAGTTTACATTTTGCCTATTGACTGGCATCTGTATATTAAGAATTCCGGTGAGTTCCCTCATAGCAGGGATAAGCATGGTAGTTCTTGTACCAAAGCCACTTTTTATAGGGAATAAGTTTGACAGAAGTCTTCAGTTCAACAGCTAAAAGAAGGGCTTTTTGAACAAATTTATTGCTATAGAAATCAGTGTACATTTTTTCATGCACAAGTTCCAAAAGACCCAGGCTCTGAAATGCCTGAATTACCAATTATACTATATGACTAAATGCATCCATAGTATCCTTAGCACCAAAAAAATTACCATATTTCAGCATAAGACTTAAAAATTACCTGTGAAGATACAAACCAGTGAATCCTGCCTCTGCTATGGCAAATTTGTAAAAATATAAGAAAGTATAGAACTATAGACAAGGGAATCAATTTTATGTCAACAACAAGTTTACCAAGCTTCTGTAGGAAAATGTTAAGCCTTAGAAATCTATTTCTATTTCTGCAATCAGCATGCAGGAGAATAAGGATGTTGAACTTGGTCCCCCCACTTTTTTTTTTTTTTTTTTTTTTTTTTTTTTTTTTTTTTTTTTTTTTTTTTTTTTTTTTTTTTTTTTTTTTTGTGGAACATCAAAAGTATTTTAAAATTTCAAAGGTTATTAAAGAAATGTAGCTTAGAATGGCTTAGAATATCAGGGACAATTTTGGTTTAAAACCTACTTGAATGTTAAAAAACAAGGAGAAGGAATACATGGTCCATATTTACCACAAAAGGACCAGGGTCATGGAAGACCTTGTGCAAGGACCACAGCTGTTCAGCTTGTTTATGTAAGATGTGAAAAATGTGGTACCTACAGAAGAGACAATAATAATTGCAGGTGTTTTAGAAAATCTGAAGCAGCATATGAAGAATCACAGGTAAGTCTCATCATGCTCAGAGATGGGGTTACGTAAAATTAAGTGTTGGGAAGTGCAGAGCAATGCATACAAGGAAACATTGACTCTACACACGTGTAGTGGTCTCATCCATCAACAGCTACAACTAAGGAGACCTCTCATAAAAGTCTCTTAAAATATCAGCAACAGTCAAAAACTAAGCAGAAAATAAAGTAAGATATAATAATAATAATAATAATAGTAGTAGTAGTAGTAGTAGTATAATCAAAATTGCAGAACTTCTCTGCAGCATATTTTTGAAATGACAGCTGGAGTCAAAAGATTGGAAAAATTCACAGACTCTGCATTCTGCATTCACATGCATATGCATTCACAGACAGTGACTTTCAGAGACAACCTCAAAGCAATGCCAGGCTCAGAGTGTCTCTGACTCACCAGCAGTGGAATTGGAATTCCTGAGTTCAGGAAGGCTAAAATTAAAGCAGCTGGTTTTGCTTCCACTCTTTCCCAGAGGCTGTGCTGTGCTTCTGGCTTTTCTGAGCCAGGAGGCTAAACTGATACACAAGATTTCCATTTTCATCCAATGTAGCAGTTCATAGGGTTTTCCTATGGAAGGGGTTTATACAAAAGGGGAAAACAGGTGAAATAATGCTCTTGTGATTGATTAGGGATTTTTAATTGGTTGTAACAGTTGTACAAGTGTCCTCAGCTGCCTGATTTCTAAACTACCAAGGTAAGGAAGTTATCTCAACATTTATATTTTGTGCAAACTATTTTGTTCTTCTTCTTAATTTGTCCTTTGCAGAGACATGGACCATCCAACACTCTGCATCATCTAGTGAGGGATGTGAAAAAGGTAAGAGTCCAATAGACGGTAGGTTGAAAATAATGTTATTTTTTTTGTAGCTAGATACAATCTCTGTTTTGCATGAGCTTCCAGTCAGAGCTTTCTCCTTCCTGCCAGTACAAAATGTCCTGTTTGTGTGCTCCAAATATGAACTTTTTGCATACAAAGCACAATTAGCAAGTTATTTGGCTTGCTTTCTCTGTGGTTTCGAGACGCTTGAGTAATAATAGTGTGTCTGCTGCCATAATTGTAGGCTCTTACATACTCTGTGGATTTATGCTGTTACTTGTATTTTTCCATACCTGCAACTGTTGTCTAAGTTACTTTCTGTGTTGCTAGTTTACTTCCAAGCCTATAAAATAGCTGTAACCCTTGTGCTAGATCTTGGCTTTTTGAAACAGTTCCTCATTCTGCATTGTGTAGTACATTATAGACATCTTCCTCAGCAGAAAAATAAAAATTAGTAGTGCAACTTTCCCCTGACCCTTATCATGTGCATTTCAAGAATCTTGAATTATAAAAATCTATTAGAAGAGCTGGACAGAAATACTGAGAGGTAGAGTGGCAGGAAGGAGATACCAAATACCTTTACAATGTACTCAGGATTAAATGAGTTACAGCGACTGCAAGGAATGAAAATCCCTTATCCTTTAGATATATGGATCAAGTAAGGAGATTGAGTCTACAAATGACCTCATCAGCTTGAGTATTCTCCCAGAGTATGTAAGGATTACAACCTTGTATGTTATGTAAGTCAAACCTCTAGGGTAGCATACTTGAGAAAGGATATTTCTGTACATGGGACTAGATAGAAAAAATTAAAAGGAGAGGATATTTTTTCTATGAGCACAGGTTTTAGTGGTTTCTTCTGACAGTGACACAATCGAAGTCACTAAGGAGAGTAGTGTTGTGTCATAGAGCACCTTTTTATTAAGTAATTCTACAGAATAATCAGTAGCATGTTAGAAAGGTTCTGGTGGTATTCTTTGGTTAGTATGTTAAATGGCATCATCATTGTCCAATTATGTATAGTGTATTAAGTGACTGTTAAAAAGTGTGAAATTATTACAAGAAGAAACTATGCACAAATCCCCTTGGACTGAGCAGAGTGAAGCTAGAATTTATTTAGAATGGATACTGCTCTTGAAGCTGAAGTTCCCAGAATATTTTATTATTCAATATGCAGTTTTTTATGGTCTTTAAGAATTTCAAAGAATCTCTTCTACTTTTTTCCAAACCCCTTCTCTCCCCCAGAATGACCTTTCCAAGTCCTTCTTCAAAGGCATAGTAAATTGTATGTTGAGTAACTAAATAGTATGTATCTCTTTTTTCTAAGGTCCTATTAAATATGTATTTTTAAAGCAACTCTTGAAAGCAAAGGCATCAGTGTAGTCAAAGATGATCTGTACTCATGGATGTATGTGGATACACACTAAATAAACTTACACTATATTTGATTACATTATTTGTTTCACAGTGACTTCTAACTACTAGGTGATAGTTATCTTTCCACAAATTTATCTTTCTTTCCTCTGTTAGTATCTAAAATCTTCAGTAATTCCAATTACTTTGAATCAGTCTTATGAGAATAGGTGAGGGCTTTGAAAACAGACTGCCTGAAGCAGCTCTTTAGCACCTTCCTGAGGAAAACTGGACCTCTGGGGCTGTATTTCTCATTTTGTCCAGGATGAGAAAAGTCAGGCTTCATAAGGAGAAGTGACAGCTCACTGTAGCCCCAACAACTGAGCAGATTTCTTAGCAGTCAACCAAACCATAAATCAGTCTGCAGATCTGACAACAGTTTAAATGAAAACACCTCCTTGGAAAAAACTTCTTAATAGACAAATCACCATTTGACAGTTCAATGGCCCATCATGCATGCAAGACAGACCACACTGCTGATGTTAGTTTTTTGAGTTCAAGTATATTTTGATGCCATACACCTAGCCTGTCAGATTTAATTACAGCATCACAGAATATAAATACCAAAGTATGTAACACACCACCTTGAGACAATACCTAATTGATATGAAATACACTGAGCATTTACATGTACCCCTCAATTTTAAAACCTGCACTATTGCATTCTTTAAAAGGGTGCATGCTAAAAAAATTGCATCTTGATCATTGTGGATTCTCAGATAGAAAATGGATATTTTAAAATGATAGAAGCAGTAATTTACTACTGTTGTACCATATAGCTGTATAAATCAGTAGGAGAGTGTTTTTTGTTTTGTTTTGCTTTGTTTTGTTTTGTTTTGTTTTATTTTAAAGACAATCTTGCCTTCTTATAAAGCAAATAATGAGAACAACAGAAGTCACATTATTCGATTCTGTTTGTGGCAGCCTATAGACACACATGTGTGCATACACACACAGGCACACAAACATATAATACAACAATATATTTTCCCTTTGGATTTCCAAATACTGCTGTGAAGACTAATAGCCTAGGCAGCATACTGTAAAGGCCTGGAGACACAATCTTAAGGAATTTACAATAATCTAAATGTGCATAAATTTTGCATGTATTAACAAGACAAATTATGTCATAATGACTGTGCCTCAGATCACCTTTCAGTCCTCTCAATTCCATAGCTACATAGCAGGGCCAACCTGCCTTGCCTGCATTTTTGGCCTCATGGCCATTTTGACATCTCCTGTCAAGGGTCCAGGATTTCACATTCAAGTTTGGCTTCCTTCCATAGACCATGTATCAGTGTACTCAAGCTAAGCAGAAAGAATCAGACAGTGGCTGTGCTGGACACCCTGTCTGCAAGTGGAGGTTGCCCTCTACAAATTAAAAAAAAAATTATTTCCCTGCCTCAACTAGATGATGAAGATCAATAGAAATTAACAGATGGATTTTTTTTTTTCATTTATCCAAAATATTGTGTATAATTAACAGATCTCAATTCCACTTCAGGATTATTTTCATTTCCAAAGTTGACGGTTTTTTGGAGTGCTACTGTATATCTGCATTTCCAAACAACAAACTAGCAATATATCAAATTTTGGCAGTATTATTATTTCCTCAGCATGCAAACTCAGAGGTTTGATACATAGTGACACAAAAATGCACTCCAGGTGAAAAAAGTGCTATAACTGGCTAGCTACATTTTAAGCCTGAAATTTCTTCAGGAGAATAGTGCATTAACACTGAATAGTTTGTCCTAGCGTTAAAAGATTTGTTGATTATTGACCAGGACAACTATCCTACCTAAAAATCAAACTTTCTCCTTAGTCATTCTTGACAACCTAGACTGCACTAGAATTAGTTCATCCAAATTTTTCTTGTTCTTGGGGCCGTTCTGTCCTGCTTGCACCACTGTGCTTCCTTTACAAGCGTTCTTAGCACTACCAGGGTTGTTCAAGCTGTCTGCTGACAGAGCAAATGCTTTAGTATGTCTGCATGTATATATGTATGTATTTGGTACATAACTCCTTTCACAAGGATGGTCCAGTTTTCTTTACTAGGGCTTCTCACTTTGAAAAAGTAATGTTTATGAAATGTGTATTTTTCCTGTGGATTTGGGAGTTTTCTTTAGTGAAGTGTTTCAGTATTATCTGGGTGGTTTAGATGTGTCTTTTTTCAAAGTTATTTTACTGGATATTTTTATCTAAATCTTTTATTAAACTTTAGAAATCAGAACTATATTAAAAAACTCATGCTTTTTAACACGTGTAGCACCCTGATGCCTGTTTTTCTTTCTTAACTGCTCGAATGTTTTTGCTACTTAATAATATTAAAGCATTCTGTTTGAGTGAAGACCTTATGTTAGAAGGAGTCCTACCTTGGCGCTGCAACTCCCATTTCTGCTAGTGCTTTCATCCTTGTTCTGGTAGAATTATCATTTTACACATTCTGGAGAGATAAGAACATCTTAGGGGAAAAACCAAACAAACCTAGCAGAATTTACTTTTTAAATTTAATTTTTTAGGTTTATTTTTAATTAAATTTTTAGACATTATTTTTCTTTAAACTGTTCAGCATAAATGTTACTATGTCCAAATTATCTAAACTAATACACATTCCTGCAAACCATAGTAATTCCCCCACCCATCAAATTAGACAAGATTAGGAAGCTTGCAAAAGGATATGCTAGAGGACATTACTTAAAAATTGTTGGCAGCTCAATTTTCTTCCACTAAATTCGGTTGATTTTTTGTCCCTTTGAATGCCAGCCCATTACTGGACATGGTATTCTAAGAAAGTACAACCTCCCTCTCTCCTTCCTCAGCCTTTTCAGCATGCTGTTTGTACCATGGTAGCAAGGCAGGAAATAAGCCTTGTTCTTCATAGCTGAAGTATAAAAGGAAGGAGGATCTTTGCATCCATTTTTTCTCTTCTGCAGAACCAGTTGCCATCTGCTCTCCGTTAGTGATTCTCTGCTCTGATCTATTAAGGACATCTCCAGAGAAGCCAGGCAGATATCTCCAGACATGTAGATTTTTCAAGCAAGACATGATAGTCTTTGCTCCATGTGAATTACTAACCTTCTTCTAATGAACACATTAAAAAAAAGCTACAGGCTCACTGTAATCTGTACTTGTATATCATTACAGTACATTAAATTATTATAGTGCACTGAAAAATTTTGAAGCTAAGAGTTACATTTTCTGGTCCTTCTGCAATATTGACTATATGAGACAATTTTTTATTTGAGTAATATTCCTTTTTTTCAAGGATACTCTTCACAGTACACAGAAGGATATTTTGTCTCTCCACCTTTATTTTGTAGTCTTTTCTTTTGTGCAGTGACACATAGAACAGAGAAGATTCTCTAAATCTGAAGAGTTTCTTAGTGAGGTGTCATGGTTTGACACTGGCACAATGCCAGTGCCCCCATGAAAATGTAATCTCTCAATTGAATGCTGTGAAATGGAATCGAGAACAGAGCAAAGCAGGCCCAAGCTTAATAACAGAAAAAAACTTTATTAAGCTACTACTACAAAAGAAAGAAACAAAGGAAAAAGGAAAAAAAAAGCACACAAAGATCAAAATGAAAACCTTGCAAAGCATTCCTCCTCCCACCACCTAACTCCAACAAACCAGAGTGAGACACAATCTGGACCCCAATCAGGTTTCCACCCTCCAGACAATCGATACTCAGCCCATCGAGGGAACAGAGTCTCTCCTGTGCCACAGACCCCCCCAAGAAAACACAGCTCCACATCCTGTGCTTCCATGTCACACATGGAACCGCCCGGAGAAAAAAGTTTGCCATAGTGACCCTTCTCCTTTCCATGCACAGTGCTCTCACCACCAATGCATGGATGGACAGACTGCTTTTAGAATTTTTCTTTTCAAGGATGTCCTGCCAAGAGGGGAGAAAGCAACAGTTCAGTTTTTCATTTTTTGGGACCACAGTCCCCCCCATTTTCCCATTTCCCCTGGGGCCGAGGGTCCAAGAACAGAGATCTTCTTCTCTTCTCCTTTTTTTGAGGACAGGGGGCACCACCACAAACCCCCTAACTTTTTCTCTGTTCACTCCACTTCTGTCTTTTCCCAGCTGAAGCAGGTCTCTTGACTTTGCTCTGGCATCCTCCTAAAATACAGTCTCTCTTGAAGGAGAAGATTGGTTCAGTTTGTGGCTAACATGGAAAAGTCCAGCCAAAAGCCACTCTTTGTCCCCCTCCCATCTAGAATTCCTCCTTCTAACATCCCAGGGTCCAAGGTGTCCCTCTTCCTCTCTTTCAAACCGAGGAGGGGAAAGAAAAATTCACAAAGCTTTCATTTCTCAAGGAAGGGTTAAAAGTCCAGCCTCCCAGGATAGCTCGATGCCCAGACTCTGGCGGCTCCACGCGACTGGGCACCTTGCAACTCCCCCCACTCCTCCCTCCCCGCATTGAACTGCTGATGAAACTGTTGCTGCTGTCTCTTTTTCTCTCTCTCTCTCTCTCTCTCCCTCTCGGGAGAGAAACTCTGGGGGGAGAACAGAGACATCCCAGATTTCTCCACCCTTCTACCTGCAGTGGCCAGCCCAGTTCCAGTCCCTCCACCCCTGGGCCCACCTCAGTCAGGCCATGGGCCTCCCCCTCCCCACCCAGCCACGGCCGGGCAGGGGAGAGTCCTGCACTGCACGCTGACCGGAACCAAAGAGAGCCAGTTCTCCTGGGAATTCTGATTTTAACCCCTCTGTGTTCTCAGAGGCGTGTCCACCTTCAATTGGTCAATATCCAAATTGACCTCTGCCTTCCGAGAAAATTCTTTTTCCATGTCATGAGGTCTCTAGAGCTAGGTGATCTTTGCAGAATCATGTCTTCTTTTCTGGTAGGGAATGCTTACTGAAACGTGAACTGTCATGCAGTCAACTCAGAAGCAAAGAGTTAGAGAAGGAAGCAAACTTTCATTTGGGTTCATTCCCTTCCCATTAGTCCTTTCTTCCTGTAAAGGGATCAGAGTTTACCTTGTGTAGTTTTTCTGGAGGGAATAGAAGAGCAGGTGTGCCCACACTGGGGTTTTGTTCCTTCATTGCCAGACACCCCCAAGAGACTTGACTGGCACATCTGTGAGCGCAGCTCAGCCTAAAATTGTTCAGCACACAAGATGTCCCATTGGGTTTACTGCAGCTGGAGAACCAAAATGCCCCATTAACTTGAAGCAAATTCATATGCAGTGAGAGACAATCTGTTACTGAAATCTTTCTTCATAGTTTTGCAACCCAGAAGTATTGGAAAACTCATAACCTTAGTGATGCCATTTTTGGATTTGAAAGTGAAGGGAAGGAAGACATGTGCAAGGGAATTCCCATAAAAAGGACAGTAGGATGTGGACGTATTTTTCATTCTGTTTCCTTTCCAGTTAAAAGGTACATACTGAAGACATCATATACATATGCATATACAAATAGGCATATACATAGGCATATACATATCCATACATATATGTATATGTATTGTATCTGTTTAAATACAGATATATAGAAATATCTAACAGAGGGTAAGAAAGGAAAAGAAATGGAAGGAGAAGCATGTAGGCATCTTTTCCAGGATCCTGCTAATGACCCTTGCAACAAACTCAGTTCATTTCTTGTGAGACAATCTCCATGGCTCTGCTGGAAATTACATAACTAGATAATGTGTTTAAAGGGTCTTCTAGTAAAATATGTAAAGAATGCAGGTAGGAAATAGGTAAAAAATTGCTAGGCCTGTAGTTTTCTTCAAAAAAAAAAACCCAAAATAATTAGTCAAAGATATTTTGTTTATTACAGCTCTTATACATGCAAATGCTTTCCTCATTCTTGGAATGAAACTTAAGTAAGGGTGTGTATTCCTTGAACATAACTCCAAGACTGAATGCTGCTAGACTCTTCTTGCCCCTGACAACTAGTAATAATGATAACTCATATACTATGTAAGTCCTCTAGAATTGAAACACCAATCTTACCTCTTGCTCATCCTTTCCTGAAACATGGGAAGGAAACACTGCAGGATGGGAAGGAGATGACCCCATGCAAGCAAAAGATTTTGTGTGATTTTGCTTCACCATGCCTTGATGTAGAATTCTGCCTCGCGAGATCTTTTAGTAGCAGAGAATTCGGCTAGCAGCTCTTCTACGATGGTGGATAAATGAGGCTCGTACCAGGCGGGATGACTCCTTCCAGCTGCTTTATTTCGCTGAGGGCTGGGTGTCAGCTGGGATCTGCGACCCGACCACACAGCAAGGGAGCAGGCTTGAAGAGAGCCCCCAGCAAGGGGCGGGGTAGGGTTTATAACCAGGTGCAGAGTAGGAGGGGCAGGATACAAGGGATCCAATAGGAACAGGATTAGGGGGAGGAGTTAGGATGGGGTGATAGGGATACAACAAATGAGGATGAGGGAAGGGGGTGGTAACTGGGGAAGAACCAATTACAGTCAGAGAACTTAAGAACCTTCCAGAACATGGGGTAAATACAAAGGGGTGATTGACATAACCAAAAGGTGGGAATAATTGATAATTACATAATTTGGGGTGAGTGGTAGGTTTGATGGACATCCTGGGAGGTGGGCATCTATACCACAGCCCCCTCCCATGGCGTGTCCAGGGGAACTTCTCTTAAGTCCCCTACCACACCTTGACAGTTCAGATGAGGCAGTCCAGAGAGATGCCAGCAGAGATGTGAGATGCCAGGACGAGTTGTGGGTGAGAGCTGGTGCAGAAAAAGTGCTATCTTGCAGAACAAGAGTCCAGAAACTGTGCCTGACTTTTCAAGTGTATCGATCCTCATGCTTTTGTTTCTTCAGTCATGTTCCTTGTTTCCCAGCTGAAGAATATGAGTACTGTGTATTGACATTATCTTCTGTTACTTCCAACAAGTTCTTCACCTTCTTATTTAACTTATGTCTTCTTTCCAAGCGAGAATATCCAGGTTTCGGTTGGATCTATTTTAAGGTGAATTAATTAACCAGCATATTAATACATTCTTGCTTTTACCTATTTAATTTGTTTTATTCTAACATAATTTTAAAGTACATTTAACAATGTCAGTAATAAGCATTTCTTCTCCCACCATCCTTATTGTCACTGCAGGGAAACTTACCTCCTGATTATCGGATAAGTCTGATTGATATTGGATTGGTGATAGAGTACCTGATGGGAGGAGCGTATCGCTGCAATTACACCCGAAAGCGGTTCAGAACACTGTACCACAATTTGTTCGGGCCCAAGAGGGTAAGAAACAAGTTGTTTGCCATCCTCATGACTGCACCAGCTGGCAGGGATTATTACCATATCTTCTTACATGGTTCCAGATTGGTGGGGTCCAGATTCATTTCCATTATGTGCATTGCAGTTATCTCACCATAATGCATGACAAGCCAGACACAGATACAAGCTATGGTTTTTATTAAATTAATGAAAAAATTATTGCATTCTGCTGCCCTCCTGAAACCAGCACATAAAACAGTCTCCTCTGACTCTAAAACCTGTAATTATGAGTATTCACAGCTTTTAAAAGAAAAGTCTTTTGACCTGCACCAATAATACTGTAATTCTAACTCCTGAGTTAGATTTGAAAACTTCTGCATTGTTAGATGCATTTCCTATCTCATGATTCATCTTCTGAATGTGATCTGAAGGTTTCAGGGCGAAAAAACCCATAACTCAAAAGTTGTTTTATTTTTTGGATGTGGCTCCAGCAGTCATTGGATTCATGGCAGCACCACTGTTAAGTATTTTTTTGGGTTCCATGTTTGATAAGTTATGCCACTGTGAATACAAAGTAAAATATTTCTAAAACACAAAAGTTTTTTATTGTCATCTGTATTGCCATTGACCCAATCCAACATGAACAGGAGTCTGTTCAGCCACTCCCAGTACAAGCTGCAGTTCCTTCTTTGTCCATTTTTGTCTCACATTTCAGATTTTAGCAATACATAGCACTGAAAGTATTAATAAGTGGTTATCAATAGCCACAGCTCTGTGAAACGCTTGGAGACAACTACCTAAAATGGGTTTATTTTTTTTCATATGCTTTTCCTTATGATTCTTCACATTTGAAAGGAAAGACAGTGATTGTAGCTGGTGGGAGAGAATTCCTACCCAAAATCACTCCATTGAGAAAAGCATTTAAGCAGTGATTTCAGTTGCATACTGAACCAACACACAGAGCAGCTCAACAACAGTCAATAATGTTTTCTAGGGCAGTGGCCAAAATGCTGATGTACTCCAGAGAAATCCATTAATGCCTTATCAGTGGTCCCTATCACTTTCTTGCTAGAACAGCCCTAAACAGCTGTAATTTGTACCTGAATCCAAATATATGTCTTCTGATGTAGTTTTGGTGACATAATGTCAAACTCAAGTTTTAAATAACTACATATATGTAAAAATTTGATTGGTGTGTATGTGTATATATATGCTATTGCACCACATTATATTATATTATATTATATTATATTATATTATATTATATTATATTATATTATATTATATTACATTATATTACATTATATTACATTATATTACATTACATTATATTACATTACATTATATTACATTACATTACATTACATTTATTATATTAATTTTCTATTGTATATTCTACATCATTCTACATGCACATGTACAGATGCATATATGCGTATATACACAAATAGCTGTAGTTTTTCATCACTATTCTGTGAGAAATAACATTTTTCTAACTTTCATTTCATACAGCCAAAAGCCCTGAAGCTGTTGGGAATGGAGGTAGGCAACCTGTGACAAATCTTAATGTCTTTTCCTTATTTGATAAATATAAACTATATCCAGATAATGTTCAAATTCACTGTAATGAAAGCATGAATGGTATTTTTCATCCAGATAGCTTGTTTATATGGGGGCACATTAAGAAAGCTTCCTAGTAAAATTCCAGGAGATAGATAAGGAAAAAGAGGGCTTTGCCCCAACTATGGATTTTCTTGGCTTTTTTGTTAATATGAATTAAACAAAATGTTTCAGTCTGGCCAGGCAAGCAGAATTTCTGTCAGATAGCAACATCTATCATCAAAACATGATCAGAGAAATGAAACACTTGCAGCAGAGAATGATGCAGAAATCTTTGTACAAAGATATTCAAAATTATCTCATTTTTATTGACGCTTTTGGCTACCCATATGCTTCAAGGGGATAGTACTATTTTCATGGTTTTTTATTTTATACAACCACTTTCATTTTTCCATCCGTAGACACAGGACAGAATAGGTCAGTTCACCTGATAAAAGCAAAAGGCTAAAATGGGAAAGTAACTAAAGGCAACTGAAACAAAGGATGGATGGAGAAAGAAGGAATAAACACACAGAATAGGAATAAAGAAGGAAGGTCACTACTTTTATAAAGAGATAAAGGGAGAAAACACAAAAATAAGCATAGAAGGAATCTTCAGCAGATTAGAAAATCCCCTGGCTATGTACTTTATGGAGGTGGAAAGAGACAGATGCATTACAGCAGATGTTACATTTACAGTGAGCTCTTAGCTTTATTTTAGTGGTGACTTTCCCAAAATGGTTCTGGATATTGTGTGCTTGTACTCTCTGTTATTATTTTCAGAGTGATAGTGTTATTAATTCAGAGTGATATTCCAAGGCTCTGTTCCCTCTATTCCCCTGTCTTCTTAATTATAGTGTATGCACCAATACCTTTTTTACTGTTTACCTATGTTAAATATTTTGTCCAAAAATGATGAATGGGCTGGCTTGCAGAATACATGTTAGGCACTGATTTAAATTAATTGTATTAATTTATTTAGTTCCTTCACTGATGAAAAAATTTCTCTACAATTCCCACAGGATGATGTCCCTTTGCGTCGAGGGAGAAAACCAACAAAGAAAAAAGAAGAAGAAGTTGACATTGATATGGATGACCCTGAGATCAATCATTTTCCCTTCCCATTCCATGAGTTGATGGTGTGGGCTGTGCTGATGAAACGTCAGAAGATGGCCCTTTTCTTTTGGCAACATGGGGAAGAGGCTATGGCTAAAGCACTGGTGGCCTGCAAACTCTGCAAAGCCATGGCCCATGAAGCATCAGAAAATGATATGGTGGATGACATATCCCAAGAGCTGAACCACAATTCCAGGTGAATTTCCTTTCATGTTCACTTTCCTGAGGGGGAAAAGGAAAAAAAGAGAAAAGGAAAGAAAGGACTGAAAAAATAAAAAAATATTTCTGAACCTGCCTAAATTTTCTTACTTTTACCTTGCTTTCACTTCTAACTTGTAGGGGAAATGCAGTCCCTTTAGAGAAAATCCAAATGGCCTTTAAATAATGTCTGCCAGAGTAGCAAAGTTGTTAGCAATATAACTTCTGAAATGAGAACATGTCAAGAAGACAGTGAAATATCTATATTGTTTATGTGTTCTCCCTTAGGCCTCGAGAGTCAGAGTGCAACATTTCTCTGTGCTTTTTCAGGATACTCTGTACATACCCAGCAGAACACTTACTGAAATCCTTATGAGCACAGTATTCAGGCAGAAGTGTTAATGAACTCAGTCATGCTTAGATGAGCAAGGCAAGATACTAGATTCCATAAAATGTTAAAATTTCAGAAATGTAGCATTTTAGAAAGCATATTGGATACTCCTTCTTCCAGGAGGCTTGACCATGAAGCCATGGGCAAACAGCAGAGAAGCAATCCCTTAAGCTACATATAACCAGAGGATTTCAGTTAGAAAATGTCAGGGAGGTGGGCAGGGAGGTGGGAGCAGACAGCTGGTAGGTGTGGGTGCTCATCACTGCTAAGTTAGGGCACTTATTTATATGCCTAACTTTAGCCACTCACATTTGAAAATGTGAGTTTCCATGTGTAGAGTCAACATCACAATTTGCATGCTGGAAGGTGATGTGCCCCTTGCAGAGGCTGGCAGCTGCATAGATTCTGAGTACAAGGCTGTGCATGATCACAGGAGTGAACGGATGTCCCTCTGTTGCAGGGACTTCGGCCAGCTGGCGGTCGAGCTGTTGGACCAGTCATACAAACAGGACGAGCAGCTGGCAATGAAACTGCTGACTTACGAGCTGAAGAACTGGAGCAATGCCACGTGCCTGCAGCTTGCAGTGGCAGCCAAGCACAGGGACTTCATTGCTCACACTTGCAGCCAGATGCTGCTCACTGACATGTGGATGGGTCGTCTCCGGATGCGAAAAAATTCTGGCTTAAAGGTCATTCCTGTTTTAAAATAAAAGTAACATTCAGAGGATTATAATAGATGGTGACACAGTTCACAAAAAATCAGTAATAACTGTCTAAAGTAACTGTATTTCAGATATTTATTGCAATGGCATTAAGCAGGTATATTCTTCCTGTGTTCAGTTTTTCAGATGAGGCTTATCATAAGCCTAAGTTCAAAGCACACAGTTAAATTTTTTCTTTCCCTTTCTTAAAGTCCCCTTTGGCATATTTTATCAGAATAAGAACAGAGCTAGGAGGTTATTGTGTCACCCTGCCTGTATACTTGAGGAGTTAGTCAAGAGTTTTAAAGATAAAGAAAGGAAAAGGAAGTGTAAGTGAATTAACCATTAGTGAAAGGTGCTGATCTGACAACCTTTCCCAGAATAGGCAAAATAAGCAGCACAAATTTCCTTGCAAGCCTTTGCAAATCTTCCTGGTGGCACCTGAAGGGACTCCTTTAGAGGGTTTAAAGGATAATTCCATTTTCAAAGCTGTTACAGCTTTACTTCTACAGTTGACAAAACTGCTAACAGTGCAAAGTGAATTCTGAGATGAATTTGAGTCTCTGGCATTTTTCACCAAAGTAGTCCCCAGTCAGAACATACCCAGGAATTGCTCCTTCCTCCCAGATCACTGACAAATATTTTTGGTGAAGGGATTCTATCTTCTGCATTAATTGCCTGTGTGAAAATTGGTAATTACTCAGCTGTGTTGCCATGTGAAAAGATGTTCAGTAATGGCAAAAATGCTTAAGAGTACATGCATTGCTTCCGAAATGGCTCTTAATCCAGTGATAGTGATGAATGAAAACAAGTGGCTGATAGCATTTCTATGCAGGACCTGTGCATACCTGTGCATACATGCTACAACAAAAATCTTACTCACTTTTGGAGACATTCCTACTACCTATTTCCTGAATTCACAGGCCTGTTATCCTTCAGAGGGACAGCTGCTTTGTTCACTGCTTAGCTCTGTAGTAATTCAGTCTAGGAATATGCAGGACAGTGCAGCAACTAATTTCCTACTACATGCATTCCACCTTTCAGCACATTTCTTAAGCCCTAAAATAGATGTTTCTTTCATAATGCATAACTGAAGGTAACAGGCTCTGTTTCCTTCTAACACCAGGGCTTCACAAAGATCCTATTTTACTCAGTTTCTAGTCTGTATTTTATTTCATTGAAGCTCATTAGCAGAACTTGTTTAAAGCTAGAGCAGGCTACAAGCTACATGAGGCAGCATGACAAAGAAATAAATTTGCAAGCATGAGTCATGGTTTATTTCCCAAGAATAGTTTTTTTCCCTTTGAAACTGACAAACAGTAGGAAGATTGAATATAATTCTTTAGATTCTTGCTGGGGATGTATGGCACCAATGGAACGACTAGGGACAGCTGTTACTCCTACCTGCTCTTAAAAATAGCCTTTCTGTGAAGCCAGGTCTGCCTGTAACCCCATCTCCCTGGACCCATCATTTTTTAACCACAGCACCAGTGAAGGAAGATTTTCCAAGGCTGGGTACAGCATTTGCATACACTACCTGGTCCTCATTGTGTACTTTGAATGGTTTCAACAGCACACAAATTGTCTGCTGATATGATGAGCACAAGCAGCCTCCCTAACCTGCCAAGAAGTTAACTATCTGGTTTCACTCTCATTCAAAGTGACATTTATCAGAAAATCATCCTCCATCAAATAACCAGGAAAAGTTATTGTGCTAGTGAATACAGACTTTCCTTTTTATTACTGTAATGTCTATTCAGTTGTACAAATGTTTTAACTCAAGCATTGTTCATTACTTATAAATCCCAACAAGGAAATTTTAGTGGTTTCTACACTCCAGCATCTAAGAGAGGGAAAGCAGAAAAGAAAGAACTGGCATTAACATGACATTACACAGCTGCCTGGTTACTGATACAAAATCTAGGGAGACTGCATATCTATGCACATCAGAATTTGCTTTTGTTTGCTTTGCCTTATCTCCTCAGATCAACACAGTTGCACATCTTTGACTGCCAGTGTACATTAAGCATGGACACAAAGAGCTATCTCTCTGTAGAAATAAATACTCTCTGTGTGTCATTTATACTGTTATTTTGTCTTATGTAAAATGCAGATATTTGCAGGTCTGTACACCCACATGGTCCCACCTACTCTTGACCTTATATAATAGTTTGTAAATATATTCTAGTATGTAGCACTATGCATCTGGTGATGAGCAAGTAGATAGAACATTCAAGAGCATTCACAGCAGCACTAGTAGAAGTTATATGCTTTGATTCAGTGTTCTGGTAATATTACTCCCAATGACAAATACTTTATTTTCATAGAAACTCACATGCATATGGTATCTTTCTTTTCCTAAATCTCCTGAGGGAGTTGTTCCGTTTGATGCTAAGTAATCATTATTACCATAATCTGTTTTCTGTGATGATTATTGTTATCATTATTATTGCTTTAGGTAATTCTAGGAATTCTACTTCCTCCTTCAATCCTCAGCTTGGAGTTCAAGAACAAAGATGATATGCCCTACATGACCCAGGCCAATGAGATCCATCTTCAAGAAAAGGATCCAGAGGAACCAGAGAAGCCAGTGAAAGAAAAAGATGAGGAAGACATGGAACTCACTGTAAGTGCTCACAATAAATGATCAGACTCAGTGCTGTCAATTTGTAGTTTCTATCTCTGTAGGCATTGCAGAACATCTGATGGCTAAATATAGCACATAATAGGATACCACTCTTGGCACAGTCCTCAATGGGACTCAAGCTGCACAATTTTTCATTATTTGGTCCCCGTGCTGCAGCAGTGTATGGAGATGCTGTGTTGTAATATCCTCATATTTTGACTCAGTTTGATGCCACATTGTCTGAACTAAGATAATTAGATTTTAGAAGAACTCAGTCATGATACATGACCTCTCTGGTGTGAAAAGGGCTTACTTCTAGTTGGAAATGCCCGAAGATTCATGGAAGCCAGAGAATTTTTTTTTCTTTTAGTTGACTTCACTAGAAAGTAAGCAAGTGTGCAAACAGGCCAGAAAAAATATGAAAAATTATTCTAAAATTATTTTTGTATTTGTGGTCATTGCCTTTCACACAAACACACATCCAGTCTTTAGTCCACTGAAAACACTAGCGAGCAGCAAGACAGCTCCACTTCTAAAACTCAACAGAATTCTGTAAGGAGGGACTTGTCAGTATTAGTACCATAGCCTTTGAGGAATAATTTACATCATGAAGAATCAGATAACTAATGTTCTAAAAACTACAAAAGTCATCTACTTTCTGTCTCTTGTTCTGACAGTTTTTCGTTAGAGCAGTTATCATCCAGGCTATTACATCTGCCTTAGTCTTGATTTGGATTTGTTTGGGTTTGATTGTGGTGTCTTTAAAAGGCTTAAAACTCAGCCCAAGGTGGTCAGGATAGAGGCATAGACATAAAAGGGATTTGCCTGATTAAGTTAAAAAAAAACAAAAAACAAAAAAACCCAGACTGTTTCCCACAGGCAAACAGCAGGAGCTGCCCACAGGACCCCGACTGCAGGCAGGCAGAAGGACCTGCCTACAGGACCCAATATGCAGGCAAGCCGAAGGACCAGCCCACAAGACCCACCTACAGGACCCGTTTGCAGGCAAGAACCTGGCTGTTGGGAAGGGCCAGAAGCCAGAATAGCAGCAATGGGGCATTCTCTGCTCATTAGCTATTGATTACAATTTACTAACCCTTGGCTTCTGATCCCTTTATGAAGTGCCTATTCAAATCAAATAAGCACTGTGCAAGCTGCCTTTTACCTGGCAATGGGGAGAAATTTGGGGAAGATGTGTTTTCTGTCCCAAGGTAGTTATCCTAGCTCCTGCTTTCTTGTCTACAATACTGTTTTTATTTTCCCTTCTCAATCCTCCTGCAAATAAATGATATGTGCAGTGAATCTGCTATTCCAGATGAACCTTAGATGTTCCCCCTCTTCTCCCTTCCATGTGCTGACAGTCCTATTGCTCTGTTCTGTCATTGACTCTTCCCTTAATCCCTTCAAACTCAGTGTATCACTCTAGTGAAGTTTAAGGCACTTGAAACCTTTTCTATAAAATAATATTTCTTCCTGTGGAGTCCAGCAAGTTTAGAAACAATATCTTTGGTCAGCGCTGCTCACTTAGTATTTCTGCATATAATCTATACCATACTGTAGAATTTCTAACACAGCTGTTTCCCTCAGGTGCCCCTCAGTGGTGAGGAGAGACAAATTGGTAGTAGAGTGATCTTTGCATGTCTATGGTTAGATGCCACAGGCAATTACATTAAGTCATCTGACATATTTTAAATATAAGAAAATACTTTAGACTGAAGTTTCGTATTGTTCCAGCTCTAGTCAAATAATCTGGCATAATGGTCAGGTTTCTTTTCCACTGATCAGAGGATGCCTGAAAGATGTTTTTGGAAGTCCTTTTGTGAAGCTTCCCCTTAGCCATGGTATCCTTTAGTATATTAAGGATACCTTATAAATACTTCAATAAGATTAATAATTTATTGTGCTGGGATATCATAAATGTTTAATTCACTGCTGAACTTTGAATCAATAGATCAGTCACTCACCTAACCTGAGCTTTGTTCAGCATAAAGATTAACAAAAAAAAGTGATGTTAAAAAAAATCATTTTTCTCTCAATGTTTCTTTTCTAGCAAATAATATATAATTGAAATAATCGTCCTGATTCTCCTTTTAACCATTCCCTATGAATACTTCTCAAGTCTCTGTATTCATCATATTACACCCATATTGTCTCTGCTAAAACGAAGATAAAGAGGTCTCATCTAGGCAAGATCTGTTATTTGATTTCCTGTGCATCTTGCACTAAGCCCAAATGACTAAAGACAGGCCAAGGACTTAGTTTCTTCTTTTGTACTGCACTTCTGCAGAGTGCATGAGCTACAGGGCCACAGTGATCTTTTCCCTATTTTACACCTCATTTGCACAGAATAATGTGATCATCAGACTACAGCAACAGTGAAGTTAAGTCTACACATGGGTGCATCTGCATGCAAGTATGTATCTGCTTTATGCTCCTCTTAAAGTGCCTGGTGGGTAACTGAACATATGGATATATACTATGAAGATACGTTTATTTACTTTAAACTACTTGTTATTCACACCTGCTTTTAACTTTATAATAGATACATGATAGTGATAGGCCCACATTTCTTTAACACCTAGATGCTAAGAAACAGGCTTATAGCAACTACTCACAAAAACACATTTGAATACACATTTGAATCAGTGCTCCTTAGCAGCAAGAAATTTACCACAATTTCTGTATGGAGCTGACAGTCATTAATCCTGAATATTAAACAGAGAGCAGTAGAAGGGCATTAAATTCTAAAGGCCAGGGATATTTTCTATTTATACAGGATCCTAATCAAGGCCTTAATTGCTGAAATTCAGATCAGTCAGAAACCTCAGAAGTCTCCCCTCCTCCCAGAATAACCCTAATTCTGGAAGCCATAACCAGAAGCATCCTTAACCCTATTCAGTACATTATTGTTTGTGTATTACAGCTCCCAAGTAAATGGTTTTATTTCAGAACACAGAATAACTCATCTAAGTCCTTTAGAAGGTATTTCTGTTGTTTTTTTCATTTTGCTCTGATTTTCCGTTAATAGGAAGTTTGGACTTCCATGAGCATTACTGAGTTAGTCTGACAACTTTCCAGCAGCAGCAAAGCTAGTTCTGTTGGCCTCTGGGATCACATTAATTCATTTCTCCATAAGAAGAGGTTCTCTCTTCCTCCAAGGAGTTTGGAAACCCTCCATACCACCACCACCACCACTACCACACATGTGCTCTGGCATGGTCTGTGTTCTTTGCCCTGCTCAGCAGGGATTCTGAGCTCTTGGCACTTTAGTCCTGTTCTTCTGTGCTCACTGTAAACAGCAAGCATGTGTAAAATCTAATTTTACATGTCTGTAAATAAAAGACTTTAAAACATTTTTCTTCCAGTGTTTCAGGGAAGAGAACAGTAATCCTAGAACAACTATCATGGGGGCAGCATTTTCACACAGTGTAGGATACAGTGGGGTGTGCTGAGGGAGGTGTTTCTGCACAGCTATGTATCATTTCCACACCAGTTCTCTATGAACTGGTGTAAGTCTCTATACAGCATGTATATTTCACTCAGGATGAAATTGTAAGAGCCTGTATTCATTACTGAAAAACTGAAATTCCTGTTACTTAATTATGAAACACATAAACAGAGTATAGGATTGTTAACATATATTAATGCAAAAATGTACAACCCAAAACTCTCCCCTGATAGTTCATTATCAGCAAACAGTCCTCATCACATAAAACAAAATCTGGCCTAAGAATAACAAAAAAAAAACAGATTAATAAAATCTCCATGTAAAAACTATGAAAACATCAATCCCTTCAGGCTAAGATGATGCAGTTGTACTGTACTTCACAATGAGGTTGAGCTGCTGTTGAGCTTACCTTGCATGACTCATGGTGAATCATGGACAAAAGCATGTATTAGAGAAAGAGATGCCGCCCACACAGAGCCGTGTGTTGAATTTTTCCCACCCTACTGCATCCCCATTCCAAGGAAAACATTTGTTCACATTTGGCACTGCAATTATTCTGTTAACACAGTTACATAGGTTATTTCTGAATGTTTCCAATGGGGAGGATTTTCAATTTGTTAATACTGAGGTATAATTGACAGTCAGGAACATGAGGTCAAACCTAATCCCTAGTCATCTCAGAGAAATTCCCCATCTGTAGTGTGGGGGATGGGAGAAGGTAGTATTATATGATAGAATTAATTAAAAATAATTATAAGAGAAAAATACAGCATCTATGAAGAACAAAACAGTAGCAAACAGGAAATCATATTCTTAAGCTAAAGCATAAATCCAGATACTGGAAGAGCATTATTATATAAACATCCAAACTCACTGATTTTATTGTCTCAGAATTTGTAATTTTGTAAAATTGTGAAGGATTTGAACTCTGTAAAATAATCCTTTTCATTAAAGCATGTCATTGCTCATTTGTTAAAGTAGGCAGCATTAATTTTCATTCTGCTGCAAAATTCCTGAGCACCAGGGGACAGCAGAGACAAAGCCTTGGGAAAACCTAGAGAAAACTGTAACTCCAGATGATAGTTTTCCCTGAACAGTGTCAGTAAGTAGAGAGAAGCAAACAAATTACTACCTTCTTGGGCTATAGTGTTTGCAAAGAATTCAGATAATATTAATTTTTTTTTTCTCACAAAACAAACCCAAACAATGATACAGATCAAAGGATCAGTTTGATTTTGTGGAGTTCAGGTAATGATATCTTCTGTGGAGGTTGTGTGTAATTTCTGCTACTGTGGTTATATTCAGTAAGTCTCATAACCGTAAAAGCCCTTCTCCTCTGCTTAATTGCCACTTTATCTTTTTCCCTTTTTACAAAAGACTTGATGGACTTTCAAGGTGTTTTATGGGCTCTGTGAGAGACAACAGGAGGTACATTTAATATTTTAATAGGTAATGTTTTATCTGTATTTATGGAAATTAAATTAACAGTCTTCAGCCATTAAAGCTAAAGGAAATAGGTTAACTTGGTCAAAGCAGGCTTTAGTTTTTGAGACAGTCCCAGCAGGTTATTTTCAGTGCAGTATATTTCTGTTCTGAATCTTTGTTATATTTTAATGAAAATGTGCATGGCAAAATCTGTATGTTGTCAGATTCAAGAATATAAGAGTCCACAAGGAAAGTAATAATACTAGAGGAAAAACTAATTGCATAGATGAAATTAAAGAGAAGGAGCCATATGGGACCAAGCACAGTCCTAATAATGTTACAAACATCTACACTGATGGAAAAAAGTTACCATTACAAATTACTATTTCACAGGGAAAAGACCTACATGAATAGCTCCACATGAGGCTGGAAAAAGGAAGAAAAAGGTTAGATTGTGATTCTTAGTTTTAAATATATGAGAAGTGTATCACCAGTTCCTGCAGGCCTCTAGAAACTGATCAGATAGCTCACCTGACGCCAAATAGTAAAGTATGTGCTATGCATCTGGTTGAATCCGAGAGCACAGATACGGAGACAAGAAGGACCTTTTTATAGAAAGACCCTATGTCTGGCATCTAATTGTTCCCTTAGTTTTCCACCATTTAAGTTGCTGATGAGGATAATGCTATCTTCACGGATGGTGAAAGTTTGCTTCCGTTAACACAAAAGCACAAGGATACTTTCATCTACTTGTAGAAAAGCCTTATAGAAGCATTGAAACAAATGCATCATTATGCAGTCCCTGCATACTTAGATTTGTCTCAATTCTTGAAAATATTTCCTGTGCAAGGTGCTGCATTCCAGAGGTGCATCCACAAACTAAATAGTAAGAACATGCAAAGGACACAATGAGCTAAAATCCAGTCTTAGTCTACTGTTCACTAAATAATTGCTTCAGAATGAACAGTCAATTGGTTACATTATGCTTCAAATACAAAGGAACTTCTTTTAATCACTAACTGCAGTGGTTGTAGTTTAGTCCTTCCATTTATCTGCAGCTGATAATGAAAATTAAGGGTAAGCAAACAAAATATTACCTTCTTTTGACTGTTAGGTTTGCACTCACAGCTGAGGACTGAGCTCAGTGTAGATTCTCTGTGGGTCTGAATTGCAATAACTATGAGATCAAGCCAAGCATGAGCAGTCTGGAACTTCACTGTGGAAGAAGCTACAATCATGTACATGAATATTTAAATTCAAGGCCTTTCTGCTGCAGTGAGCTACTAGTAAGTCCTCTTGCATCCATGTAAGCTTCACTGTGGGATCATGGCCTGGAACAGGTCCAGTGATTAAATTATAAAGTGCCACTGTCTTCTTTGCTTCTAGTTCAGTGACTATCAACTCATCTTTTCCCTTGTTCTCCCTCAGCCTCAGCTTTATGAACTTCTCTTTATTTAAAATCAAAATTTATCTGTTTTCTGTCTGCATCTCTTTATTGTATAGAAGTATACTACATAAAGCTGTTGTCAGGTAAAAATCTTTCTGTCCATACACAAAAGGAAAAATATCGTCCACATTTATTTTTTGTCAGGAATTACCCTCTCAAGCTAAGGGCTAAACCTATAGCTTTCCATTTTCAAATATTAAACAGAAGCCTCCCTGCAAAAAGATAATTTGAAAACAAAGCATTTTAAGCCTAGCTGTAGTCAACTGGTTTTATCTAGAGATCAAGAACACCTTCCTATTGATAGTTCAAAACATTGTGTAATTTTTCTTTCACAAGAAAGAAACATAAATATGTCATTTCTTGTAGGCAATGCTTGGACGGGGGAATGGAGAGTCCTCAAGAAAGAAAGAGGATGAGGAAGTTCAGAGCAGGCACAGAATGATCCCCATTGGAAGAAAGATTTATGAGTTCTACAATGCTCCTATCGTGAAGTTTTGGTTTTATACCGTAAGAAATCTTTCCTGTTATATTAATAATGTTTGTACAAATACTGAAATTGGACTAAGGTCATCTTTTGTGTTTCATTGATGTCTACATTTATATGTATTGGAGGGTTTACACATAAATAGTTTAATAAAAATATTTGGTGGAAGCCCGCTTGTTGCCCTGATTTTTAAAAGTGTTAAGTTTTCTTTTGTAGATCTTTTGAAAGTTTTAAAGTTCTCATAAAACTTCTTTAGCCTTCTAATAATGTTTACATGTTTGAGAGTCAGAGTTCCCACACAATTTCATGTATAAATAAAATAGTTTATATATTTTTCTGTAGGTAAAGAAAAACTATTAATTAATCTTTAGACCAGTGTGGTTGGAGAAGTAGTAATTCCATCCTCCAATCTATGGTCACCTTTAGAATTCTATAAATACCAGATGTTTGAAAAAAACTAAGTCTTTTTCTCTTTTGAATATAGCAAACTTCTGTGTACTCATTTTGTGTCCAATAGCAACACCCACTAGCATTGCAAACCTTTCCATGACTTTTAAAGATTACCATTTTGTTCAGGACGTTAATGGCTAAAATTTGAATGGTTGTATATGTTTTTCTTTAAAGAAATGGCAAGGGGCAGTTTGCTGCAGTGTTCCTAAGGAATTCCCTATGGGAAAATTCAAAATAGGATTCCTTCCAATAGTAAGCCCAGTGGGTGGTTGGTCTGAGTCAGAACATGAATTATCTAATAATTGATGAAAAAAAGAGGTAGAGCACATCTTTCCTTGGAACAGTTTTTTTCGGTTTTGACCAGCCTGTGAAGTACCTCTCAGAAAAAATGTCAAAGACGTTATTGACAGCCAATGTACATTTTTCAGGGACAAATTAGTTTAAGTCAGTATATTCCCTGTGTTAGAAAGAAATGAAGCTTCCAGAAGGAGTAGAAAATTGATGTTTTGTATATCAATTACAGAAAAACAATACCAAAAACTTCACAGGGTTTTCTCACAGCTAAATTAATAAAGTTATATTAATGTTACTATGTGGATAAAAAGCTTTTTGACAATTAGTCCTCAAGAGTAGATATTAATTATTCATTATTCATATTAATTATTCAAGCTGGAAGCAGGGATTCAAGTTCTCTTCTCTATCAGGTGCTATGTGATATTTTTGTTCAAAACTTTGATGATGGAGTAGAGATTGGTTATTATTTTAGCTATTATTTAGTTATTATTAGTTATTTTGCAAATTACACTAGAATGTAGAAAGATAAGACTAAAAAGATCACAGAAGGGAATCCTTTCAGTCTTCTTAGCTGAAATATTCCATCCCAGTTCATCTTCTGCATCATATGACAAGTGTGGACTGGTTTGAAAGACCCTAAAAAAGAAGAATGTTTCAAGAAGTTTGTGAAGTTTAACTTAAGGGGAGAGATTGAGGAAGTGAGAATGTTTTCTCTGTTAAAAAAAAAAAAAGATCTGCAGAAGGAATGTAACAGTTTCCAAATATGTGTAAGCACTTCAAAATCCTTGCTGAATAGGATGAAAAATAACACCCAGATAGTTCTAAGTAAGTTAGGAAATAGTTTCTAACTGCTCCAAGAAGTACTGTCATGAACTGTGTGAGAACATGCTAGATTTTCCATTATTAGTGATTTTTAAACTATCTTATCAAGACATATGTTCACTATGGTACCCTGGAATTAATCCTGCCACAGACCAATGGAATTGTCTAGATGGTTTCAGGTGGTTTTCCTCAGTCATATTTTCCAATATTCTGCTGAAAGCACAGCAAATCACAAAGAATTGATCCCTCTGCAAGTGATTTCTTTAAGGAAAAATTGTCTTGCAGATGTTGGGAACAACTCACATCAATCAAGTCTTAACTGTGGTGGACCCTGTTGACTAGCAGAGTTTAACATATTGTAGTAATTTATTGTTCAACTCAGAGGTCACTGAGCATTAATAAAGCCCACAAGTCCAGAAACTACTCATCTGTAGCCGAGTATCATTATCAACAGCAGTGTGTATTATGCACAAACAGAAAAGCCTTTACACTACAAATGGAAAGAAGCATCTTGGCTTTTCCTGTTAGTTCAATTTTTAAATGGGAGAGAGAAATCAATACTGGATTTCTATTTAGGCTTGTTCCTGCAGTTTTATGTCCTGAGGCTGGTCTCATTCAAGGTCATTTATTAAAACTGGATCTTGGTTCACTGAACCCAAGAGAGCAAGTTAAGGTGGATTCTGGCTGCCATGCTTGACCTGTTGTGTATATTGAGAACTGCTGGAGACTCAAAGCAAAACAAGTTCCAGAGAAGGACTAAAATTGCACAGCCTTTCACATTTTGTAAATACACAGGCACAAATATTATTCATGGATTTCAATATAAATTGTTCAAATTTTACATTCCACAGTCCAAAATGCATGTAAAAGGTCCTGTGGCTATTGTATACCACTTAAAACAATTTGAATATTCTGCAATTAACTATCTCTATTACTATATAGCTGTATTCACCTTCATTCTTCAAATACACAAGAGTGAGTTAAATGAGATATTTAAGTAAATATCTCATTTAACTAGTGTCTGCTCAGCAAACACTAGACAACTTTTTCTCAAAAAAAATCCCAAAAAACAGAAACAAATTAACAAACAGCTCCCCACCCATCTTTCTCTCTAGACACACAGCAATTTCTAAATTCAACTACTTTGTTCTGTTTTGTGGCTGTTGCATTGGAAACCATGATGCAAATGTTCATCCACATATTGCTTGAGCAGAAGAGCATGATCTTCTCCTACTCCTACTGACTACTCCCATTGTCCTAATATCAAAAAACTTTTACGGCAGTGTTAAAGTACTAAAACAAAAAGTAGAGCTTTATTGGAAGCTTCCAAGTATCCTGGTGGTGATGTGCATTGGATTTCTACAATTTTTATTAGTTTAACAAATTAGCATAATGAACAAATATTGTCCAATTAGAAGAGTAGGTCGTTAGGTTATTTTCTCTGGGTACTGCCCCACTGGAGTCAGTCTAGGCCTTCTTTGCCCCATTTCATATTGTGTCTCCTCGAATTCTGATTGGAAAACAGAAGCCTGCTCCTTGTCAGATTTCTTATTCTTAAGAATAAGACTAAAACAGTATTTCAGGAATGTGTCACAAGGTTAACTTACTCTAAGAGAAAGGGAACTATGTAACTAGGAACTATGTAACTATTTCATAGTAGTCTAAAAAGCTAAAAAGGTATGAAAAATACATAAAAAGCAAAGTCTTTAGACATCACTACTACTAGCATTACCTGAGATACTAGCAGGAAATAGGAGGTCATGTTTCTACCTCTTCTGAAGAGGAAAGCTGCAGAGGAATTGAGCCCCAAGTAAAAGTCACCTTCTAAACATCAAAAGAGTTTTGCCATAAGTTTTGAATTTTGGGACCACTTCAATTTATAAACATTTAATTATTGCGATCAATCAGAAATTAGGAGGATGATCTCCTTCTTGAAGCATTAACCTGTTGGTACAATTTCCAGGTGTGTCCTCTACCACAACAAGTATTGCAGTATTTTCTATGGAATGGGACTGCATCCACAAAAGGGCTGGGTGAAATCCACCCTTGAAACTTCTTAGTAGGCACTTCTTTCCTGGTTTCTTCAGCCCTCAATGGTGACAATGGCAGCTCCTAGCTCTTTGTCAAGCCAGGCAAAAGCAAGAAAAAATAGGGTTCAGCTACTTCTGTAGTAGCAGTTTTAAAGAATCTTGAGTACTAGCACAAACAGCTACACTGAAGTTTGACCACGGTGCTGTTGTCAGTGTCACCTCCTGGAAGGTGAGAGCAAGTTAGAAGTGGAGGGAGAGAGGAGACTCTCATTCACCCTGTCACTAAAGGGCTAATTTCTTGGGTCAAAATGAAGACATTTCAGTGTAAGTTTACTCACAAATCAAAATTTTTTCCTCTTTTGTCAAGTAAAAACATTTTGCAATTTTGACTAAGTTTGAATTGACACAAAGAAACCTGACAAAACCAAAACCAAAACCAAAAAAACCCATCATTTCAAAAGAAAACCAGAAAGAAGCAAAACCTCCTAGTTACAGTTAGATTCTTGCAGTTTCTGTCACTTTTGTAACTTCAGTGTCCTCATTCTTTGGTCATACTGACTGCAAGTGCTCACCAAAGGGTACTGAAGCAGATCAAAGCAGATTTCCTAACAATTAGTAATCAATAAGGTCTAAGAGGAGTGTTAAGTAACAGTATCACCTGGCTTTTTGCCCCATATTAGAAGGCTCTATTTCCACTAGGGTGGTGTATATCCAGTTCTGCCTGCCCAGATAGAGGTTCTCCTGACTCCAGTTTAACCCACAGTAATGTCTGCATCAACATTACCCTCCAGACATCAGCATTGCAATACATGATCCCTCAAACTGAAAGACAAATGAGATAATTTCCCCCTCTGTTTTATGCAGACAAGAAGTAGTGCTTCAGCTGTCTGCTTCCTTTATACTGATAGTTATGACCAATAGAATGAATTCTCTTGAGTGTCCTCAGCCAGCAACTGGAACAAAAGCCAGAATCCTGTAGCTTTTACAAAGAGTGGAAGTCACATTCTCTAACAAGTACGATAGAGCTATAAATTATATTCTGTGATATGCAGAACATTGAAATAATCCTACCCAAAAGTCTCAAGGCTTTCTGTGGCTGTTTCATCTTGCATGTGAGTCCATGTATGCAACAGTGAGTAACAAACAGTTGAGAGATAAAAACTGAATTCAAATATACATGTATGTATTGCAGCTTTCTGTCACAATGATTTGATGTTCATGCACAGAACTGAGTCATCTTTTCTGTAACTTATATTTAGCCTTAAGATGCATTTTTTATAGGGCTGTTGTTTGAAAGGAAAAGTAGACAGGTGGTTGGACTCTTGCCTCCATGAACCAGCGTGGAATCCTTGCCACAGCCCATGCTCCAGAATGACACTTGGTTTTCTCTGAACTTTATGAGCTTGATGAAGCAATTTGCCAAACATGTCTTTTTTTGTTTTGACAGATCATTTAATTACATTCAACATGCTGAAAAACAAAGAAAAAGAAACTAAAAACTTTCCTCTGGATCAAAAATTAATGTAGAATGTAAATGTATTAGGAAGGAAAAGAAAAACATTCACACTTAAAAATTTGCAAAAAAATAAGGCAAATGAATGAATGGCTATGCCCAGCTCCTTGCTGCAGCAGTGTGAGTAGGAGTCGCAGTGTTTTGTAGTACTGACCTAACCCATTCTGTAGGCTAGGTCAGTACTACAGTGGGTAAGAAGACCTCTAATAATGCCTAAAATCTGGATTCAAAATGCCAGACTCAGCCCAGATCATGTGATAGGGAGGAAAAACACAAAGAAGGGTTGTTAGAGGACTAAAGACTCTTTGAAGCAGATGAGGGAAAAATCTTTACATAGTTTACTTAATTGGGTAGTTGACACTTAATTGGGTAGTTGACACTTAATTGGGTAGTGGTATTAGGTTTGCCATCTCTGTGGGATGATCCAAGGGAACTGCATTAAGGAAGTCTTTTTGAGGAGGGACATATGTGCATATTCCATACAGTATGTGACTTAATGTGAGCTTTCTCAGACAGCTCAGGATAGTCTTATTATTCTTTTGTCTGTGAAATCCTGGTTACAGGAGAATCAGGAATATTAACCCATATCCAAGAGACTAGGTCAGTTGTATAGATAGTGACAATTGATTAAAAAAAATTGATCTATTTTTTTTCTTTACAGCTGGCATACATAGGCTACTTGATGTTGTTCAACTACATTGTGTTGGTGAAGATGGATCGCTGGCCATCTATTCAGGAGTGGATTGTCATCTCATACATTTTCACTCTAGGAATAGAGAAAATGAGAGAGGTAAAGTCTCCCCAATTAAGAAATAATAAAAAAGGAATAAGCATGGGTTTTGAGGGTTTTTTTTCATTTTAATATATTTTTTTCTTATTTTTCTCAGGGTATGTTTTTATAAATTAGCTTATCATAAAATTATCTCTTTTTTTCAGAAAGGCAGATGGATTGCTAAAAGACAAGCAGGAAAAAAAATCTATCTCCTTTAATTTTTAAATTAAAGTAGTTTATTTTTCTTCTTCTCTTTCTCTCCTTTCTTTCTTTCTTTCTTTCTTTCTTTCTTTCTTTCTTCCTTCTTTCTTTCTTTCTTTCTTTCTTTCTTTCTTTCTTTCTTTCTTTCCTTCTTTCTTTCTTTCTTTCTTTCTTTCTTTCTTTCTTTCTTTCTTTCTTTCTTTCTTTTTCTTTTTCTCTCTTTCTCTCCTTCTCTTTCTCTCTATCTTTCTCTCTTTCATTCTTCTTCTCCCACAAAATTTTTGCATTCAAATTTCAGTGTGATGCTCATTTAATAATACATTTACAAGTATGGGGTGATCTTGTGACAAGTCTTAAAGGTCAGCTAAATTCCTTAAAATATGACTATTGAAAATTTTGTTGATATGTCAAGCAATAGTGTGTGTCTCCCTAAGGATGCAGAAGAAGACACAGACCATTTAAAGTAGTACTTAGTATATATAGTGAGTGAAGTGGCTCCGTTAACCCTGCCCCTTGTGGTCTCTCCCCACTTTCACTGAGTCAAAGGTCCATTTATTCCACAGTGACACCAGAGGCCCAATTTAGCCTTAATGTGAGTGAATGCAAGTCCCATTGACCTGAGCTGAAATAGCACATTTGTACTCCTGGGCTAATCTGTTACCTGTTATGTTTGTACATTCTGAATCCAGTGCTCTGGAGGACTAGACTAAAAATGGGCTTGCAACACTTGGGTTTCAAAGATGGGCTTCTTACACTGTATGGTAAATGCTACATTATAAATAAAAAGAACAGCGGAAAAGACACTACTTGAGTGGCCCATGAGTACATGTCATTAAGCAGAAGAGAAAGGAAAGCAGTGGCAGTAACCACACAAGGACTCTGCAACACTGATGGAGCCAAGGCACTGCTGGCTCTGCAGGTGGGAGGCTGCACTCAGGAGTTGTATGAGCAGGTTTTTCTCTAATCATTCACCCCAAACTGACATTGCCACAAAAGTTTACCAAGAACATTTGTCACAATTGATTTCTAAGCAGATGTTGGAATTGTTCACAGATGAGCCTAAAATTCATTCCAAAAACAAATTATAAGAATGACTTTCATCTTTTTTGAGGAACTGTATGAATTTGAGCAAATGTTCTTGGGCTAAATATAGAAAATTAACACCAACAGCTTGTTAACTCACTAAAAGGTAGGACATTCATGGAGATCAATTGAATAATAGTTTTAAGAGTAGTTTGGGAAAACAATCAAGTTACACAAATGATCTTGCAAGGAGAATGACAATAAATTCATAAGGTAATATTGTTTATTTTGTGATGTTTATTCTTGGCTGTAGAACTTAATTTCCAAAACCAGGCCCAAGTAGTATCTAGTATCTCTCTGTATTAAATTTCTGATGCAGGGCTTTATGGTTATTAATTATTTCTTGGTCAATTGATACGTACTTTAATATAACTTCCTGTAAATCTATAGCTTCTTTAAATGTGAATTTTCTGATTGAAAAATCTTTCTGTATTTTATCCTCTGTTCCAAGACCTTAAGCACGGTTAATACATTTGAAAAACAGAAATACAAACACGTATTTCTACTTTTTTGGTGAGGATTTTAGACTGAGTCCTTTGTCCACTTTGTCCTTCAAAGTATCTTGCATAGAGATACATGTTAAGAATGGTTGAAGATTTCGGGGGAAAAAATAACAGAGATATTTGGATGGTAAGCATCTATCAGCTTTGCTTTTGGGCTGTGTGGCATATATCTATCTGCTTACTACAGATTTCTTCATCTTTATGTTAAAACAGCTCAGCTCCTCTCCTCTGCATTTCCTCTGTCCTTCAGATCCTAATGTCAGAGCCTGGGAAACTGCTGCAAAAAGTCAAAGTTTGGCTCCAGGAGTACTGGAATGTTACCGACCTCATAGCCATCCTCCTGTTCTCTGTTGGGATGGTTCTCCGTCTGCAAGACCTGCCTCTCCGGAGCGATGGACGCGTCATCTACTGCGTCAACATCATCTACTGGTACATCCGGCTGCTGGACATCTTCGGCGTGAACAAGTACCTGGGGCCCTATGTCATGATGATCGGGAAAATGGTAAGAGCAGTTGGCAAACCTCTTCTGTTTGGCAGCATGTTCATGGCTCGGTGTCTTGGCCAATGGCATTGCTGCAGGCCTACCTACATGTTTTTTAAATTCATGTTTTCATGCAGACTAGAAATCAAATTTTCTAAAATTTTCTAAAAAAATTTACTCAAAACCACCAGAATCGAGGATTAGATTTTTCCTGTTCTGTTAGATGATGTATCATTTTTCTTTCTCTGACATTACTCTTCAACAGCAATGCCACCCCACACCTCTCTGTGCCTCATTTGCAGAAATTGCAAAGGAGATTTGGTGATTATAAAGGAAGGTGTTTTGTTAAGGTAAAGAAAAAATTGTTCAGTTGTATAGTACCTTGAGACTCTCAATGTGTTGTAATAGTCATGGCGTGTTCAAAACTATAATGGTTACAGTTAAGACTGACCCCTCTACAGTTTGATCCATATCCACATGCTCTTCCATCATTGAAGTTCAGGTGTGTTCTTGTGACATGAGAAATCCATTTGCATAAGTGCAACCTCTGTGCCTTGGCCACATCAATTGTACACACCATAGCAGGAATATTAACAGCTTGTGTAATAGTAAATGTATGCACAAGGAATCAAGAGGAATTTGCTTCCACGTGCTTGACTTTTGACTTTTCAATTTTTAATTTTCATGTTTCAATTGAAGTCTTGCAATTAAGCAGAATTTTGCTTGTTTCAGTTAAAGAAAATGGCTAGATTTACAGATGCACATGCACATATCCCTGATATTTGGATACCTGCACACATAGCTGATACACGTTTAAGTTTCACATACAGTATCCAGTTTTTCTTGTGTAAATTATGTCTGTTTCATGCATTTTGAGATTTAAGATTTGGGATTTTCTAAATAGATTAAAGCTCACTTTAAGTAAAAAGAGCAAACTGAATATTAACCCCTCTATATGAAATACTGCTGTCTGTTTGGTATGTGACAATAATCAGCAAGCCCAACCAGGCTGTCTGTTGTATTTATCTTACAATGGTCCTTAAAGAAAAGCTTCATCTGTCCTCACCATCATAAGAAAAGGGGACATGTATGAGTGCATGGACTACACATCTCCTTGATATTACATTAGTCACAACAGGCTCAGTAAGCAGGTATAAAACTGAAATGCAAAATACACATCCATGCCCTGCCCAGCAGGGAACCATTGTCTTATCCCCTCAACTTACCAGCTTTTTACTGCAAGCCCCCAGTGTTGGGTTTGACAAAGAAAGAAGAGCTTAGTGGGGAAAAAAGTCAGGGAGGGAGATTGAGGGCAAACATGAAAGTGATAGTTGTTATGTCTTGGAAAATGGATTTTGAAGTGTCCTTCCTTCAAGAAAGCCTATAGGAGGTTGACATGAGGTTTTGCAGAGCTCCAGAGTGAAAATACTCACCAGTTCTTGTTAGAGGTTATGTAAAAAGACAGCAGGACCAGAGAAAGGAATACAGATCAAAGAGAAAACACTACCTTAGCAAGTTTCTTTCCTGCCACATTTGGGCTATCTTTCTGCTAGTGGATCTGGTGGTCACTGGAGCTTACACAATACACAGTGTATAAAACTTCTGAAAAAACAGCTACACCTCTGCTCTGCTTTATGTTTTACAGCTTAAAGTTTCAGAACAGTGATGCTGACAGCGTGAGCAACAGTTCAATAATAGAGGGGCCATGTGTAACAAACTTCTAGTAGTCAGTGTTATAGGTGGCTGATAGGAGCCCAAATCCACCAGCAGTATAAAGAGTGGTTCATTTTTCTTCTAGGTCACACAGAAAGGAAGTGATTGAAATTAATAGCATTTTCATTCTTTTGTCACTTTCACATGTGTACACAAATCAAACCTCACTCCACTTTCTGTGGAAAACAAATGCAGGAAAATCTCTAGCTTCTGTGTGTTCAGTATCTACATTAGCGGGTGTTAAATTTAGCAGCCAAATTGTTAGTAAGCTCTGAGCAGCTGCTAAAGGAGGTAAATTCTTCTTTTTTGTGCCTTCCTGTTGCTTGGTTTTCGTCTTTTGTCCAACTTTCCTTTCATCTTCAGCCATGCTGACACATCCCCTTTGCCCACACATACAATACACCACCAGTTTGAATCAGCCTCTCACATCTATTTTCTGACCAGTTTACTCTCTTGTGCAACTCATGTCCAACTCACACACTCCCTGGGAGCTGCTCCTACTGACTCTCAGCTGCTCCATGGGCTCTCTTGTGTATTTTTGTTTAAATTGTGTGTTTCTCTGCCTCCTTGCATTCTGTCTTCCAAACGGTGTTGAAAGTTCAGTTCAGCACTATGAAGAACATCAAGTTGGTTATATATATTTTTACAGAGTAAGCACATCACAACTACTGAGGTCCTCAACAGACCATATTTAGTGTCTGAGACTTTTTCTTGAGCTTATATTCTAAGTTTTAGACTCAGGAGGAAAAGGATGGCTTTTTCTACCTTTCCAGTATTGAGGAGCTTTCTCTTCACCTGCCTCTACACTGCAGTCAACGAAATAGCTGTAATAAATTTTACCTCTGGCCACTCTGAACAAACATGCAAGGGAAATTGAGCAAGAAGCAGGAATGGGCTTGAGTGGTTTAAAAGCGATAGGTTAAAGCAAAGATGAAGAATGGCCAAGCTTATTACTATGTACTGATTTCAGTAACAGAATATGCTTCTGCTTTTCTGATTTCTGCACAGTGGTAGATCTAATTTCCTTTAGGAAATTTCAGGAATGAAATTAAATGACTGTGGAATGTCAAGAGAGTCAGAGGTATATCAGTTCCTCTAATGTGTGGAAATGTCTGCATTTTTCTAGCATTTCTGCAAATACAGAATTTGAAATACAGCCAACTTCTTTATGAAATTGTACACTAAAAAAATGTGTTTTAACACTTTTTTAAACAGGTAACTGATGAGTTCTTTAGAATGATTGAAAGAGCCATTGCCTTGCTAAAACAGCAATTGTAATTTGACACCACAGGCCAAAGGACCTGATACAATGCTATTTAAAGTCTAAAGTGGAAATTTGTCCATGTATTTTATTGTATTTCAGACAAGTTACTGAGAGTTTAGAAGGTACCCAACTGAAGGAGGAGAAAAGTAATGTGCATCTTGAATAGACAACAGCACTAAAAAATTTATTTCTTGCAACATAATGTCACACATACTCCTGATCAAAATCACTTTAAACATTTAAGATAATGTCTTAAATTGCCTCAAAATACTGATTTTGTTTACTTGTTTCATGACATTTTTAAATAGTTATTACATTACATCATATCAAATTATATATTGCCATCTGAAACAAAGTTTGATCAGACAAGAAAGGAGGAATCAGGTTTCACCTCTAGGTTTGTTCCCTAAAAGTAGTGAGAACTAAATATCATTATTCAGCTTTCCCATTTTAGGATGCTTTCTGACATTCAATGATCTGGAATTTCTCTTCTTAAAGGAATTTTTTTTTTGAGAGAGAGATTAATGCCCTGAGTTAAATAGGAATGTTGATGGTTTACTTCTCTGGCGTTTAATTATTTAAAGCATTTATTTTCCTCTCTCATGTCCCCAAGGTTTCTTTCTTTCTTTCTTTCCTTCTTTTTTTATGAACTTAAAGACTTTTGTTTTTCCCTGTTTTTTTTTTCACGGTCCTTGGTTCCTTCTTTCCATCTTCCTGATTCTCTCTCATCTGACCCCTGCTCCACTGGTGCCTTTCTCCTAGAGCGTCTCTCTCTAAACATGAGCATATCTTTTTCTCTTTGCTGCCCTGTAACCCTCTTTTCTCTAGTATACTTTCCCAGTGTTGCTTTGACCTCAGGTTGCTTTAAAATTGAGGAACCCATGCAGCAGTATCAGATCCATCTGCTGCAAGCAGGTGCCTCTTCCAGCAGCTCCTGTCGTGAGCATCCCTGCCCTTGGGCTGCAGCAGGTGCTCCCTGGAGCCATGAGGCCACCAGCTGAGGTGCAGGTTGGTTTTATGCCTCTCTTGCCAGAAGGGCTGAATTCAGCTGAGCCAGAAAATGTAGACACTGGAGGGAATAAAACTCATAAAGTTTAGAGAATTCATAACTTGAGTTTTGGCTAGAGACAAAAGTTACGTCCAGAACTGTGAAAAAAAGCTCAGTTGAAACAATTCTAAGGACCTGGCAAGTCTGTAAGTTTTAAAGGAATCTTACCAGGGACTTTACAGGACTCCCATTTTTTTTCACAATCACTTTGGGTAGTGTCTCCTGTACCTGCCTGATGCCCATTGTTCTGCTCCCTTGAGGGCGTTTTCTAGAACAGTGCTTTTTCTAATCTTCAGATCTTTTCAGCATGTTGTAGGATTGCTGTCCCATGTTTTTCAGGAACATTATTTCGAATGGGTGGGCACTGTTTGCAAACACTAGTTAATCTTGGGCATATGCGAATGAGGTCCTCAACAGTGGAGAAGAAGGGAGTTCACTGTCTGTTATCTGATTAGGTTTTTTTAATACAGCATTTGTCAGGCTCCCCCACCAAGTGGATTTTTAGCCCAGCCAGTATCACAGCTTTCCTTTCTCACTGGTTACCACCGTGATATCCCTTATGTTGCAGTAACAGGCTGTTCTGCCACCCGTTCCTCCGTATGTTAACTGCAGCTCCCTTTGCTCCAAAATAATGACTACCAATGAATGAAATTATCCATGTTAGTCCTTTTGCTTAGGTGCAGTTGCCACTTGGTGCCTATAAACATCATCGCACAACCCTTACCCAGACCAAACTGCTGATTCCAATGACCCACATATTCTTGTTGAGGCAACTGGTGTGACCAGATGGTACTTTGTATTTTCAAGCCTATTCATAACATTTGAATTGTTCTTGGAAGTAATACTAGGTAAAACTAAGGATACAATAATACCACTTCACTTCTTTGAAAAACAAAAAAAAAATTTAATGTGTAAATGAGAACAACTTTTCAAAATTTTTTTCTGACAATTCTGCTTCTAAGATTCACAGACTTTTTCTTTTTTTGCAGCTCATAATAATAGGAATATGGACAAATAAGTTCCTCTAATTCTTGTCCTTTTTCTTTTTTTTCTCCTTTTCTCTGTCATTACATTCAGATGATAGACATGATGTACTTTGTCATCATCATGTTGGTGGTTCTGATGAGCTTTGGTGTGGCAAGACAGGCAATTCTCTTCCCCAATGAGGAGCCTTCATGGAAGCTGGCGAAAAACATTTTCTACATGCCTTACTGGATGATCTATGGGGAAGTGTTCGCAGACCAGATAGACCGTAAGCAAGTTTATGATTCTCATACTCCAAAGTCAGGTATCCAGCTTTGATCAGATGATGTCCTATTAGATCATGTGTGTTTGCTCAATAAATGGCTCTGGATAGAGGAACTTCTTCAACACAGAGAATGGTCACAAAAGTTTTTTTCATCTAGTATTGGGCTGTCAGTTTCAGAATATGCTTCTGGCATCACTTTGCAATTATTTAACTGGAAATCTGTAATGTTGAATTGTCATACATGTAGAGAAGGTCATAAATATGTCCTTTTTACCAGCTTGGTGACAAAAATTCCCTTCCAGATATCCAAGATGAATTTGGTGGTATACTTGGGACACCAAAGGTCATTTTTTTTTTTTCATCCCTTGGTTTATTTTTAGATATGAATACATTTTATCTAACTTCATATTGATTATCATGTCTAATAATTAGGGGTTAGACATTTCTGCTCCTGTATTTCATGGGGATCTAATACAATGAGTTTTCTTTTCTCTGTTATCATTTCAGTGCCACATTTAATCTAAACCCTGTGATGCAATTCTTTGGGTCTAATAATTAGATCCATTTTTAGAATACTGCTGCATTTATTTTTAGAAGGCAAGACTGTGTTCACACCAATGCAAACAGGAAAAGAGCCAGTATTAAATATATTATCTCCTCAAGATTCATCAGATAGGTGATCAGGAAAACGCTGATTTTCTGTTTAGATTAAATCTTGTGGTCCCACTCATTGCATTACCACCAAATGAGAGAGCTGGTCATGAGAAATTATATAGTAGATGAACAAACTAAGAATCACAAACAATGTCATATTGTGCAACCACTGTCATGTAACTGATGTTTATCATTCCTATTTAACTATGTGTAAGTCTTGGCAGCATTTGGAAATCAGTACGTTTTCCAGTGTCAGATGGCTTCCATTAAAGCTCTGTTTAGGATATTTCATTTTATTCTATGTACCATCTTAGGAAATGACAGTATTTTCAAAATTTATTTGCTGTTTGTTCAGTATTGACTAAGTTTGAATGAAAAGAAATTATTTCTCCTGAGCTGGTTAAAACTAGTAATTGTATCTATAACACAAATAATGCCCCCAGTTGAATATAGTTTCAGTATTCGTATCCCATGGCAGATATTTCAGCAGTTTCATGTTAACTTCCTCTTCCTGGCTAGCACAGAATCATTGTTCTAGATACAGATGAAACCTCCTTTTTATAATTTCTTCCCTACTTGGTTTTCAGAGGCAGCATGGCATGCAAGGAAGTAAGCATATACCTATAATCACTAAATTTCTCACTATGTTTCACCTTTTACCCAATTCCTTCATTTTTATCCTTTTCCCTTTTCTTTTCTTTTAAAAATTCATTCATTCCAAAGGTTTAATAGTTGGGGATATAAAACTTTGTCTTGCTCTGAAAGCATATTTTAGAGTGATAAAGGTTTGTATCATTAAAATAATACTTCCTTCTACAAGCATAATAATGTTTGTCCCTCTACAAGTGGCCATTTATTGATATTGTATTAAGTAGCTACCATAGTGCAACAAATGTGGCAATTGGCTGAATAAAATGTTCTTGTTGTTTTTTTTTTTTTTAAATAAAAGGCTGATTACAGTTTAGAACATGTAAATGTAAGAAACTAAAGGGTGTTTTAAGTATGAAAACAGGGTGGCAGGCTGAACACCCTTGCATGAGGATTTGTGTTATTCAGATGCACAACGTTTAAATAATGCAAAAAGATGCAGAGTAATTATTTCTGAAGCTTAAGGAAAGCAAAATTTCTGGTGGCCTAAACTCCAGCTTTAGATGTAGACATACTGTTTTTCTGCCTGTGTCAAGGAAACTTGGAGTTGCAGCAAAAGTGATGATGTCAAAATGAAAAGCAGCACCTATTTCCTCCTTCCTGAGAGGCAGATGATGCAGGGAATTAGAATCTGATACTCTTCCAGCACAAATTATGTACAGTATGTCATGTCTGTATGATGCTCAGTTGTCTCAAAAATGTTATCTGTGGAATAGACTGGCAGCATGAGCAATAGTTGGTGATGATGTTATACAATCAAAATGGCCCAATGGACACACATAAGGTTTTACTAGTATAATCATCACTATTTAAACATTTGCTGTTATTTATATTTTCCACATTGTTCTAAGCTAAATCAGCCACTGTACTCATGTTAAAGTGCTACAGTGTTTGTACTTTCTGAAATAAGCATGTTCGAAAATTGTTATGCTACATCTAAACTCCAATTTAACTTCATGGTTTAGAGCACATTATTTTTTTAATCAGTATTGTTTTAACAAAAAAAAAAAAGGATTTCTTTGTGATTTTGCTTAAATTTTGTTGTTTAATATTACTACTTTATTAGCAAACTTGAGTTTTAGTAAAAGTATTGATCATGGAAAAGCATTTCATTTAAGCCACTCTCCTGGAAATCATCCTGGTATCTGAGAAATGTACAAAAAAGCAGGCTACTCTAACATTTTTAATTTGCTTTTTTTAAGAAAAAATATTTTATCTATTTAATTAATTATTTTTATTTTATTTGTGAAGAATGCCATTAAGACTGACCAGATACAATGTTTGGATCCACCTCATCAGCTGGCAGCCTTTTCATCCAGTGGGTCTACTCTGACTTTTCTTTCAACATACTGCTAAATTCCTTGCTCTAAAACAGTACACATTTACATTTTTTACCCATTGTTTCTGTATTCATATAATTTTTTAAGGAAAAACATATAAGCTGGAGTATGTGTCAGTGTCCTCTTGGTATGTGATCTCATCTTCAACTCAAAAGTGAGGACAGATTATATCCTCACTTCTGGGATTATGAACACATTATTCAGTGGTGGTGTTTATTATCAGCAATGTCCAAAACTGCTAAAAAGCTACAAATTTATTACTAAAAATCAGTTGTAATGCGAGGCAGAAGGAAAGTAAATCTTTTAGCTCTGTGTTCAAATTTTCAGGTAAAGTCGACAAAACCAGCAAAATCACTCTCTAAGTAATTCCTCTTGGATTGACAGTTCATCATAATATGACCACTAAAAAATCTAAAACCTTGTCATATTAAACAGATCCATATAAATATCTGTTGAACTAGAATGGCCAGCTTCAGTAATTCTTGTATGAAGAGAGTGTGAGGAGTGAGAACCCCTGAATATGCCAAAAACATGCTGAGGAAGGAACAACAGACAGCAACACATGTGGAAATGTGGCCACTGCTAGCAGTGGGAGCATCCTGGGTTCCTGGTGCTCTTTCAGTTCCAGCTACCCATTAAGTCCACAGCCCAGCTCCATATGGGCATGGGGAATGGGGAACTAGAAAAGACAGACTTTACTATCACAGTGTAATCATAATGGTCTTCCTCTAAGTCTTCGAGCAGGAAATGAGTAGAATATGATCTATAAATGGAGGTTCAATTCCAATTAATTAGACTATACTTTTCCCACAACTATATCCAGATGTTCAACTCATTCTGTGTAGCTGACCTGGCACAGACAGAAGGTTACGCATACCATGTTGTCTACTCAGGAAGTTTTAGCAATTACATGAAACAGTCTTTGGAAGCATGTAAAGATCAAGGAATAGTCAAGCTACTATAGTATACTATAATAGTAAAGCTATTTCATGGAAAAGTCCAACCAGTTCAAGTGAAACATCAATAATGACTGAAACCACCTTGATCTATTGAGTTTTGACTTGGGCCTAGAAAACCTCAATTACCAGCTATTGGGATTCAGATAAAGGCTTAGACCTTAGAATTGAAAGCAGGCAGTAAGCTAATCAAATCTGTGAATTATTTAAATGTCAGGAAATGAAAAATTAATATATTTCAGGAAAGGAATAATAAGAAGAGCTTGATAAGTTGAAAAAAAAATAGACTGATCTCAATTATGTAGTTGAGTAAAGATATTATCCACTGATAGCTGGGGGAGGAAGGAGAATCTCAATCTGAGAGCTGGTGATGGCATGTGCAACTGTCTCACTTTGAGGCTGTTTTTCCTAATCCATCTGTGCCTTGTGCTGCCCCATGGGATCCATGTAGTTACTTCACCCATGTAGTTACTTCAGTGAATGCCTGTCCAGAAGTGGATTTCCCACAAACACCTGTAAAATATCTCCCTCAGTTCACCACACTTGTGTTGGCAGTTTTAGCCAGGAACATTGATAAGACAGTTCTCACTTGTGAAGAACTTTGTTTTCACCTTACAAAATGATCCTCCCCTCCAGAATACTATAGCTACAGAAGGATACAAGAAATACTGAAGATGGAAATGTGAGTTTGTAGATAGAGGAAATAAGTGCCAGCTTGGGAAATGGCAGTCATCTGTTAAAAATAAACATCAGAGCTCACATCTTCCTGTATTCCAAAGGCTAAGCTGAACCTGCTGTTAGTCAACATGGTTTCTGGGAAGTTTTTCAGATTTTCTTGGTGTCTCACAGGTTGGATTTCCATCTGGGCTTTCTTAACAGATGACAGTACTTCACGAGCCATCTAGAATCTGAAGATCAGTCTGAATTGTGTTTGTTTCTTGTGTCTATATCTGTTTTGAAAAACCTACCTAGTTTAAGGGAAAAAGATGGGACCTCTTTCTCTTTCAATTTTATTAAAGGAATATCAAGTAACCAGAATGCAATCGTTTCAGAAGATGAGAGATCCTTATACACAGATTTTAACTATTCAACAATCTTCAGAGGAAACTATAATTACTACAAAAAACTTTTTAAAAATTATTTAAACTTAGGATATTTCTACTGATAAACAGTAATTCTGTGAAATTTGGAGTTTGCAGATTTTAGTATTTTATCCGTCACTGGAGAACAACTTTAGGAAGGCCACTTAATATTTTTGGGGTTGGTGGGAGGGCAGCAGATTTCAATATTTACCTGACTGGTAAACTGGTGAAGCTGCTTAGATATTTGATTCAGAAATTATAAAACACTTTCACATCTTTTGGGTTCATTGTGGGTCAAAATTTGAAGGTGCCTACATACTCATAAATAGGATTATGAAAGTGCATTAAAAATAATCAGACTTGATTTTTTAATTGTTTTTTGTTATTTGGTTGCACTTATTTATTTCCGCTTTATTTAGAATTGTGAACATAGGAAAGCATCCCTTTATTGTGACAATAAAGTGACCATCACTTTATTGTGATTTCAAACAAATCAGTTTGTATTGTAAAAGCAGTATCCATTTTTATAGAAGAAGTTTTCATCAAAGGAAAATGGCTATTCAGTGGCAGGGCTGTTCAGTTGTACACTTTTGTCTCTTCATTATTTCCCACACATGCTTTTGAAAGGTGCAGCTGGGGGAAGAGTCATGATGCAGAAACTCACAAGCATCCTTTGCCAAGCCCTCCACCCAACATACAGTAAAAGTGAACAGTGCCCTTGTCATGACAGTAATTACAGCAGGGAAACTAATTTTTCCTGAGCTCTGCCTCCACATTAGGTCTGAAATCCACAACAGCTTGAATTACTTTTGGGTTTTTTGCAACTATTTTCTGAACAGAAAAGAGGAAGGATTAGGTACGTAGCAAGAAAGGCCTAGCAGGAAACTGTAAGTGGAAGTCAGGAAGGAAAAATAAGCACGGAAAAAGATTGTAAAAAAGGAAACTAGGGATGTGAAAAGTATGTATATCTACAGGTGTCAAGATGCAATGTTTGAAAGCTTTGTGAATTTATAGAATTGAAATTAAAACTCCAAGCATTTACTGTTTCATAAAGCCTAAGTTCAGGACATAGTGTCTGAACTTTATCCAATCGCCTGTAGGTATCTGAACTGTTGGCTTTTTCAGTTACCTGAGATTAGCATATCATTATGCTACCAGAATTTGCTTCTTCAGTAAAGCATTTAGCTAGAATTAGGTATTCTGTGGTTTGTGTTAGAGCAAGGCTATAAGTCAAACAGATGAGTCAAGTTTGCATACATGTAAATATTGTGCTTTGAAATATATTTCAATATATTAATGCACATATTACCAAAATTACTTAATTTCTCCAAAAATAATTAAAATTTTTGAATGATGTTACAAATGAAGGGTGGCACAGATCCCTCAGGGGTGAGGCAGAGTGCACATCTTTAGTTAATAGTGGCGGGAAGAAAATCTTTTAAAGTAAATGTCATAGTTTAAATATGAAAGAAGATGTTCAATGACTTGCCATGGAACACAGATTTCTGCATTTTTGGATACACGTCATGCGTTTTCTCCTGCAGCTGAAAATGTGACAATTAAGTGGTGGCATAGCTCTCCATTAGTAAGGCAAGGAATTAGTATTCCTGTGTTATTTAAAAACTGCACCCACAACAAAACATGTAAAAGAGAAAAACTTCTACAAAGCTTCAGGACAAGCTGAACCACAACAGGTAAGAGAATAGACTGTGGGAAAGCATCTGCATAGGAAATCTAATTTGGCATCACTGAGTGGCAAAAACCAACAGAGATTTCCCACTTGTATGCAAGTAGAGCTGGAGAAATATTTTTTTTGCCTTCTTAACTGTTTTGGTTTTTTTTCCTAGACTAAATTCTATGTTTTCTAGGGGAAAAAAAGGGATAATAACTTTAGAACCAGAGTTGGAGTTGAGCTTTTGATCTTAGTTATCTGTAGTTTGAAAAATGCTTTTCAGAATTTTTCTCATTACTTGGAAAGATATTATTTGTTCTGTTTTCAGTACAAAAAAAGAACAACAGGTTTCAAATACTGTGAGTGTTCCATCACTGGTGAAATCATGATGGGTTTTGGTACTTTGTTGTATTGGACTTTGTACATCTGACTCAATATATGAGCAAGTAATGTTTCCACACAGAGACGTAAGTTTCACATTGAGTGCTGCTAGTAAGAGATATTGAATGGTGCATTTTCTGCTGGGTGAAGGCCAAGAGCAGAGAGGCCCACACTCCCAGCACCTCACAGACAGTATTTTGAATGTCTAAATGAAACCACTGCTTGGAGCAGTGTGGAAATAGGCCTGCAAATGATCTGCAAAGTGATGTTTACGGAGAAATGAAGAATTGCATAGTCTCAGCTTGCTCCAGTAATAAAATGTGTTTTTGCAAACAGGAAGGACTGGTAACATAACAAACACAATGGAGCTGCTGGTAAAAAGCAATGTTGCTTGTATTTGACTCTCTGATTTCTTTTTCAGTGAGTTGAGTATTTTTGGAGAGGTCATGTAGTCTTTCTTGTGTCACATATGGCTACAATTGTTCTGTGTGTAATAGCTAGTGTCTATGTGTAGTGCCCAAAACAAAGTACCTAAAATCACACATAACATAATATGATTGCCAGTACAGACATCCACAAGTGAATGCCAAGCTCAGTGCACCAAGTTCAGAAGAATGTTTTTGGGAAGATGCAAAGAAGGTTGGTACTGGGAATGTGGATTTGTTGCCATACAAAGAAATTCTACATATGGCATCATCTAACATTTTTCATTAAACGAGTACAAAACCCCCACTGATATGACTAGGAAGTGAGCCAGTGCTGAGCAGTTTGGAAATTCCTCACTTAAACTTTTTTTTTGGTGGAGATGAGGGGAAGCTAGCTGTAGTGTTGTGCAAAATTTACTAAGATGGCTTGAATATGTAAGCTGCTGCGTCCATTATTTTCTTGAAAAGCTGATTCTGGACATACATAGAACCATCAGGAATGAAGCTACAGAGACATAAACTGAACCCATGCTTGCAAATGTAGATTAACCATCACTGCACATGAAGGCGTATTAAAACACAAGCAGGGAAAACTATTTAGTCATGTTTTCTCTCCCCTTGCTTCAGTTCTACAGCATTAATACTGAGAATATTTTGATTCCAATGTATTTGCAGAAGAAGCAGGTGGCATCTCTGCTGCATACATGTCCCTGTACCTGGTACAGTAAAGACTTGATAATCTCCCCACTGTTTCTAGGCATGCAGTCAAGAGTCCTTAATAGCAGAAAGTCATTATGAGTATGTCCTAGTGGGGATTGCGACAGTGCAGTGCACAGCAATAAATTTTAATTTTAAATTTTCATTTACTTTTATGGACTTCCTTTTCCTCATTTATCACATCTCTCTCAATCAATAAAAAAAGACAAGGTTTTCACTGTTAAAGAAATCATATGCAAGCTTTTTTTTAGGATTAAACAATTCAATAATTTCATTTTCATAGCCGCTAATTACCACCAGACTACCATATTATTTTGCATTATATATGCAAACAGGCAGCTTACTCACACCAGGCATGTGTCCTGAGAGAAATATCTTGATACCCATGTCACATAACACAATAAGAACTGCAAACTCTAAAATCTGTGATACCAAGCATAAACTTCTGAGGGAGAATGTCAATGCCATTGTTATTTGGAAGATGTTGCCGTGGCAAGCAGACCATGATAAATATGTAAATATTTCTTCAAAAACTACTGAAAACTTAAGATTCATTCCCATTTTGCTTTTTTTTTTTTGTTGTTGTTTCTAAATTTTGTTACCAGCACCTTGTGGTCAGAATGAAACCAGAGAAGATGGCAAAATAATCCAGCTACCTCCCTGCAAGACAGGAGCATGGATCGTTCCTGCCATCATGGCCTGCTACCTCTTGGTAGCAAACATCCTTTTGGTGAATCTTCTCATTGCGGTTTTCAAGTGAGTGACTCATTGCAAAGTATAGACTTGGGAGAATGTATATTGTTCACCGCCTAAAAAGACTGCTGAATTTTGGCTTTGGCTGAGAGACATTTTCCAAACATGTAAGGGGGAGAGGGAAAGAGGCTTGTCTCCAGGAAACAAGGGAAATGCCAAGTTTTTCACATTGTGCTCATTTCCAAGGACAGACACCTAGTGGGAACCAGGGCAAAGAAGCCAAATAAGGTTCAGTTATGGCATCATTCATTTCCAATAGGGAAAACAAGAATAAAAATACTTCCCCATCGCAATGGGATGTTATAAGACTCAGGGATTGTACAGTGCAGACATTTGAAGTGCCTTACAGTTGTAAGGTACTTCAAAAAGGCTGATTGTCACCATGCTTTGCCTAGGCAAAAACTTTCTATTTCGTCCTGCTTCCTGCTTTTGTGACAAGAAAACCTTTGCCAGTGTTATTGCAATATATCTAGTTATGACGCTGTCATATCATCTTTGGCAAATCCCCCAAAACCATTTTCAGTCTGATGTAATTTTCCCCTCCTTGCCTTCTAGCAACACCTTTTTTGAAGTCAAATCTATATCAAACCAAGTTTGGAAGTTTCAAAGGTACCAGCTCATCATGACATTCCATGAAAGGCCTGTTCTCCCACCACCTCTGATCATTTTCAGCCACATGACAATGATATTTCAACACCTCTGCTGCAGATGGAGGAAGCATGAAAGTGACCCGGATGAGAGAGACTATGGACTAAGTAAGACTCAGATAATGCACAAAGGGGACTTTCAAATGCCTTTTGTAATGTCTAGTGTTTGATATGCATGAAGTCAAAGCCCAGCACCTTGATAGCCTTCCCAATATAGTAACAGCTCTCACCTGCAAAAACCTTACCTGAATAAGTTAGTTTTACCTGATTTGTCCAACTCTTCATTTTCTTTGCAATGTTGAGGAGGCTTTTCTGTAACTATCTGGGGTTGTTGCCTATTTGTTCCTTCAAAGCAAAGAGGTTTCTTTTGCTGTATACTTTTGCTGTTAGAGGTCTGTTATTGCTGGAATTCTTCCCACTTCATCACAGTTCCAGCTTATTTTTGAAAATACAGAGCAAACAATACATACTTCCCCTAAGTGCACTTTTTGCCTAGATAAGCTTAGAGATGGTAACAAGTAATTTTGTTTACATAGTCTCTCCTTGACTCTGACTCAGACTGGAGGAGTGGTTCCTCAACAGGCTTTAAATGGTCATAACCGTGATGGAAAACGTTTGATTATTTTGATAATTCTTTCCTCTTCTCTATCTAATTCTTCAAGGCAGAATATCTCCACCTTGCCCAGTATACATGCCAGAGGCAGGGAGCTAAGGGTGTGTATCTCTTCCCAGCATTAGCCCATGCCACAGCCCATTTCTCTGTGAGGAGGGAGCAGGAGTCACATGTGGCACTGGAGATGCAACCAGATGGCTCTCCTCCCACTCCCACCACACTGCTGCCTGCAGATGTCAGTTCTTGCCACGTCAGACAGACCCTTGTATTCTCAGACTCTTTCCTAGTAGTCTGATAATCTCATTATATATCTGTTAGGTTACAGGTGGTCTTTGGCTTTCACCATCTGTCCAGGACCTGACCAGCAGCTGTGTTTAGATCTCATGCACTCAAAACACATTCACATTTGCTCAGCATTTGCCTGCTTAAGTGCTTCTGTCTACGGAATCATATATAACTAAAGCTACTAATTCAGTAATTAACAGCAATTAATTAGTAATAGGTAGTAATTAATCCATCTGCTTTCATATCAAAATGCTACATACTGGCTTATGAAAGTTTAGTCAATGAGTTTCAGAGTTTCACAAATAAGAATGTGGTTAGTTTCACATGTTAATATTTGCCAAATTCTTATTTCTCAATTTTTTTCCATAGAACTTTTCATAACTGAAGATGAATTGAAAAAGGTTCATGATTTTGAAGAGCAGTGCATAGAAGAGTATTTCAGAGAAAAGGATGACAGATTCAACTCCTCCAATGATGAAAGAATCCGTGTCACTTCAGAAAGGTGCACTTTTTTGTTCTCATAAATTGGTCTGGAAATGTGTTTCTGTCACCAGTCTCACTCTTTCTTTTTTTTTCTTTTAAAAGGAAATGAAGTAATTTTG